GGTAGCACTTAGCAGAAGTATTCACTGCATATTTGATCACACCTGGCAAAGCCACTTATGAAAGACAATGTCCAGAACTTCTTTAGAAAGTAGAGCCCTAAATGTAAATACCCAAATAACAGTAGATAAGGTGAGGTAGGGAGGTAGCTCTTTTGCAAACAGGAAAAGGTTCAAGAGGTGACAGCGGCAGGGTGAAGGAAAAGGAAGGGAGATATGTTCCGTAGGGGAGCTGGCGCCCCCATAGGAATCGGTGTGTGCTGCTGTTGCCTGCTAATAAAAAAATAAAATACAGGAGGCGCAAACAGAAAGGTCTTTAGCAAATGGAAAGAGCGTCTAGAGATGGAGCAGGGAGGAAGGGGAGAGGAAGGGTAGGTAACCGGTTAGGGCAGCTCTGGGTGTGCCCCGGCACCCTAGTAAGACCGGACGGACTGCAGCCATGACTCACCAGAAGAGAACTGTGAAAAGAAAGTGGCCAGAATGACAGTATAAGTGCGTTGAAAGCAAGTGGCAGTGTTTGTGGCAATGTGTCATGTACTGTAATAATATTCTTAGAATTTCAATACAGTATTTTGTGTATTCGTGCAAGTATAGGAGAATGTAGGTGCATAACAGAGACATGTCTTTGAAGGAAATTGCAAAGTCTATGTAAGTATGCTTTATTTTACAGCTTATAATCACTTTATTTATTTATTTATTTATTTGTTTATTTTAATTTATGTATTTGGTACAGGGCCTCACTACATAGCTCAGACTTGTAGTGATCCTTCTGTTTTCAGTCTCCCCAGGGCTGGGATTACAGGCATGCACCAACACACCAATCTTGGTGGCTGGCTCAGTGTGCCCCAGAGGTGGAGCTGGCATGTCATGTGGTGCCAGGGATTGAACCTCGGTCCCTGCACTTGCCTAAACAGGTGCTTAGTCCGCTAAGCTCTCACCAGACCCTCACTTTATACTATGTATTTAGGACAGGGTCTATAGGATCTACAGGGTCTCACTGCGTAGATCGGAGTCATGATGATCCATTTGTTTACAGCCTCCCAAGTGCTGGGATTACAGGCGCAAACCATCACGCCCAGTCTCAGTCCTGTCTCAGCACACCCAGAGTGCAGGGCTGGCACAGCAGGCCTGGGGATTGAACTACCATCCCCTGCATCTGCCTAAGCAGGGACTTTAATCCACTGAGCTATTTGGCCAGCCCTTATATTATGAAAGAAAATAATTAACCTTCTGATTGAAGTCCTAATTGAGATGCCTGTCACTCCAAATTTTTCCTGAATCATAGGACATTTCATGCTTTGTGCTTGTGTAAATCCAGGCCTCCTATACAAGGCAAACAAAACCACTGGACAGACCCTGCCATGGCGCACACGTGGCGTGTGCTGAGGACAGGAAGGACAGTCTCCCGATGCTGCATGGCTCCTGCTGTGGTTTGATGGTATCGGTCGCCAGAAGCACACCGTGGCCCAGAAGCAGCTCTCCAGAGCCCAGCGCGGCTCACTGTCCTCGCCAGCATCCACAGCCGCCGCTGCACAGCCAGGCGCTCTGACTCTCAGGCGAGCGGCAAACTGGGACTCAGAGGGCTCGACTGATCTCCCAAGCTCGTAGCGCCAGGCAGCAGTAGAGCTGAAGTTTCTGTGGAACATGTAGCTTTTGTCAGTGCCCGCCATCGTGTATGATGGCTGCATCCCCCGTGTGGAGCTGCTGGGCACACGGAGCACACCCTCTCCCCTTCCCCTCTGCCTCCTGATCCCCTTCCCATTGGGGAATATTTATTTCCCTACCTCCTATCTTGTTTCTTTCATTTGTTCTTTATTTCTATTTTGCCTTTCTCATGTAAGAGAAACCAAGTGACATCTAGGCCTGTGTGTCGGACTGACTTCATTAACAGTATGGTCTCAAGGTGTCTGTGTTTTCCTACAGAAGTTTCCATTTTATCTTTCTTCATGGCAGAGTAGTACTCCGTGGTGTCTGGGTGTAGTTGTTGTTGTTACTGTTTTGTTTTTTTTCCTCAGAGCTGAGGTTTAGCGCAGGACCTGACGCGCGCTAGGAAGCAGTCCCACTGAGCTACTTCCCCAAGCCTTCCAAAAGGTTTTACTGTTTCTACCATTTCTCCATAGAAAGCTTTCCGCACAGTCTGCAATACTTTCTAAAATGAATCTGAAATATCAGCATTATAATCTCTCCTTTTCCTTGATGGGTGACAGATTCAAGGCAGATGATAGATTTGTTTAAGGAAATAAATTTTTAATGAATCAGAGGTCATTGTAAAAACTCATATACCTTTCTCCAAACATGGCTACTGCTTTTAACCTTGGACATTCAAGTAAGTGGATATCTGAGACGAGTGTATCTACCTCGGCCATTGTAAGTTACAATTCCTGTAATCATTTGCCTTTAATTAGCAATAAAACACCCCCCGTGAGAAAAATCTTTACAGTAGTGTATTTGTAAAAAACGTCTATAGCTAATTTTACCCTGAGGATGGGAAAAATACCAGGAGCTCAATTAATTATGCAAAACAACTAATGAGACAAAATTTGGGTATTCTGCCTCCTTTGTGTCTGGTTGGATATTTCAGCAAGTGCCTGCACATTTAAGTATCGCAGAATGTCATGTGTGAGAACAGCAAAGTGAATTTGATTATGTGACCGCAGACTTTCCCTTCCTCCCCCTTCCTTCTGATGCTTTTTCTCATCCATTCCCATTCCCTCCCTCCTTCCTTCCCTCCCTCCCTTCTTCCTTCCTTCCCTTCCTTCCTTCCCTCCTTCCATCCTTCCTCTTTTCCTTCCCTCCCTCCTTCCTTTCTTCCTGCAGGAAGGGCTGCTCTGTGAACGTTCTTTCCCCAGAAAAAAATGGGGTCTGGCCTCAGAATGTCTTCTAAGTTTGAATGCGAGGCCATCGCTGCAGTCATACTCCCCAGGCAGGCCAGTAAAGCAACCTGCAAGTGTTTCTGAAAACCTGGGGAAAGCCTGCTTTAGAACACGGGTTTTACGAATATATGAATTTAAAACTTCCACAGTTTAATTTAAAACTTATTTGATTTTAAATAAGACTGACAAATTTCTTTTATAGTTTGAAATTTTAAGGTGCATATTGAATTTTCCCAAAAGAATTGAGGTGTTAAATCTCATTGAAGCTTAAGTGAATAGCTGCGCTCCCGTGGGGCTGTTGTGTGACCCAGCAGGTCTTTCTCAGTGGGAGCAGAAAGCACTCACTCCTGCTGTCAGACATTCACTGGAAACGTAAACACTGTGTAGCTCAGAGCTAGGATGGGCCACAAACCCGTGTCACTCTCTGGGCCTTGGACATGAAAGCATCCTAGGTGGCAGATTACGACCATGAGCACGTGTAAGGCCAGATGAGAGAGTTACTTAGCTACTTGTTCGAGTCCGCTGACTCGCACCATCTCAGATCCAGACCGTTATCTGGTTCCCAAGAGCATCTGACTCTTACATTAGTGGTGTAGTGAAAAACATTCACATCCAGAGGAACCACACTCTAAGCATTACACCTGGTATCCCGGGTAATAGCAAAGCTCTTCAATGACTGGAATGCTCACCTGACTCTGGGAGAAGAAGGGAAAGAAAAAAAGGGGCGACACTTGTACATATATACTACATAAGGGTTTTTTTTTTCCCCCTAATGCCTTCAGGGCAGGTTTGGCTGGCTTGAGTTGTGGCGATGGAACCCCAGCAACCTGAGCCTGACTGCTTTGTTGAAGCAGCCACTTAAAGAACTGAGCTCAGGGGCAGGTAGCTCAGATCATTGTACTACGATTTCTATTAGCTGATTGAAAGGAGCAGCCAGTGCTTCGCTTACATTGTTTGGCCAGTCTCTCACGCCTGCCCCTGGTAATCTGTGCAACTGCTCTGAAGATAACAATATGATGCACAATAACCATTGTTAATTTTCTGCCATCTTGTTTTGAAATTCTGTATCATTTTTATTGACTTTTTCTCTCTTTAAAAAAGAAAAAAGTATTGCTGTTCTTGCCTGTAGGAAGCCTTTACAATTCTCTGTCCTGATACAGGCAATAAGAGCTCTATGAGTTTCTAGCTGTGCTAGAAACTTGTTTTCCAGGATTACCCTAGGATATAATATGTAGTTTAAGAATCTAATAGTTTCACAATTAAAATCAATAGAAAAATAAAGTAATTAATTAGAGAATAACTGGTGACAGTTGGCAGTGTTTTCTCACCTCTCTGAAGTAATAAGAGGGTAGTGATAGAGTGTCTGTTAAGAATAACTTGAAAATCTTAATTGTTTATAATTGCCCTGATTAGGGAATCATGATTTTTATAATGATCAATATAAGGAAAGTCTCTAATTCACAAAGGTGGTGAAGTTTTGTATATAATGGAGGTACCAGCCAGGCAAAGCTCTCTGCTCAAGGCTCTTAGAAGTTGGTACTGTGGTGCCAGGTTTGTGTCCAAAGAAAGCTTTTATTGAGGGTTGGCCATCCTGGGGTCAAGCAGGAGACTCCACTGTGCCCCCAGATTGATTCAGAGCGGGAACTTTAAGGATTAATGGGAAGAAGATGCTTGTGGAGGTTTAGAATGAGATGGTGAGGTGTCCAGGTTCTATTACCCACGCGGGGGCGGTCTTCCGCCTCTCCTGGGCTGTGTTTCTTCTCAGTGTGCCCATGCTCTGCCGGGGGACTTGGAGTCTTTGATGTTGGAGAGCTTTTGCACACATCCTCTCTTACAAAGACAATTTCAAACCCCTGTCATGCCGATCCTGGAAGCGTTGACTGAGGAACAATTTATGAACTCACAGTTATCTACTGAATGGATGTCTGAGTGTGTTCAGAAGTGACCAGTTTCGATTTCATTATTACCTTTTTGTTATAGATTTTCTTTATTAAGAGTTAGATAACCTTAAAATGGAGAAAAAGGATTCGTGCGTAGCCACAAGGGCAGCGCGTCCTGCTCTCAGTTCGGTGCCAGGGCGACGCTGTCAGTTCCGGCTCTCAAGCACGTTCCTGTCTCTCTGTCGTGCAGCCGGCTATCGCCAACCCTGACATCATGTTCATCAAGATCCACATCCCGTGGGACACGCTGTGCAAGTACGCGGAGAGGCTGAACATCAGGATGCCCTTCAGGTGCGTTCCGACTTCATTTCGTTCTCCTCACCAGTGTGCGACACGGTGAGCCTGCCGACTTGCAGCCTCCCGCAGGCCTTTCCTCAGAGAACGCGTTTCTTCTTCTAAAACGTCAGGTCCCTGGATGGCTCTTTTCTCTCGAGTTCATTTACCTTCTGTACTGATCTTCCTGGGCCTGCAGGAACTTTAATTATTTTAATGTGGGTTTTCCTAGAGAGAGGGTAAAACAGTTATTCTCAAATTTCTCTTTTACATTCCCCCAAGCAAAACCTCACTTTTATTTTATATGGATTGATGTAATCCTTTATTATTTATATGACAGCAGGAGGCAAATGTATGGCCTCCTTACAAACAAATACAGAGTGCTTGTCTTGTTGTGGTTAACTACAGTCATTTTTTAGGTCATTTCAACAGAATAATTTCCTAACTTGGTCATCATTACCAGTAGATAAATGGTAGTGAGAGGAATGTTCCTCATAAGATTTTCAGTTCTTCCTTGAGGCAAGTACAGATTGAAAAGACATTGTTTCACAGCCTAGTTCATCTTCTTTTATTGGTGAAATGTATCATATTCCTCCATCATTTCTCAAGATAAAATTCCACAGTTCTCTACTATATGCAGAAAATGAGCTCACATCAAAGAGGAGAACATTTACTCTGACCTGGAGTGAAACACACTCCATCAGCTCTTTGGGTTAAAAAGACTCTGACCAAAAAAGAGTCCAAGTAAAGAAACTGGCTGAGCAGAAGTGATAACTGAGTGTGTCACTCATGGGGAAGATGCCTTACACTGTGTAACATGGAGGAGACCAGCTCTGACAGACATGGTGACAACCCAAGCTCTATGATCAACTTCTACACTATTTGAGACAAAATATGAGATATCGATCTCATCATGCTAGAAATTTTAAACATTTCAGGCTTTGAAAGGTGCAAACATCCACATTCATTACTGAGAAATCAGAAATTGATTAAATATTGACGACTGGAGACTCTTACTGGCAATAGTAGACTCAATTGTATAAGTAGCTGACATTTATGTTGAGCTAAGAGTTCCTGCTTTTATTTTAAAGAAAATAAAAAATTCAAAAGACCATTAAAAGCAATACAGAATTTCAAAACAAGATGAGAGGAAATCGAGTGTTTGTTGCATTGCATAGTGTTACCTTCAAAGTAGTTGTTCAGACTACCAGACATAGACATGCAAGATGATCAAAAACATTAAGCATTAATTGTCCATTTCAATAAACCAATAAAAATTAGTAGTATAATTATCTTAGCTATGATGTGTATGACAGAGATTTTATAATGTCTGTAGCTAGGGCATTCAGGAGATAAGCAAATAATACTTCACAAGTATTGACAAAAATTCAAAGTAAAAAAGAGAAGTAAAGCCTTTCCAATTCCTCACCACTCTGAACAAACCAGGGGAAACTTCTTGCCACAGTGTATGGCTTACACATTTTTATGAAACTTGGCCCCTGCAAATACCACAAAGAGCCCGCAAGATGCTGCCTGTCCTATGATTCGTGGCAGAGGAGCACTTGCGTTCTGGTGACTGTACTGAACTATCAGAGAACAACTTGGACAGACTGTATGCATTGGTGCTGCATGACCTTCCTCCACTTCTGGATTTTTTTTTTCTCTTTAAAAAATACAGCCTTGGGCTGGCCAGATAGCTCAGCAGACTAAAGCGCCTGCTTAGGCAGATGCAGGGGCTGGGGATTGAATTGCAGGCCTGCTGTACTGGCCCCATCCCCAAGGTGTGCTGAGATGGCGATTGAGACTGGGTGTGGTGGTGTGTGCCTGTAATCCCAGTGCTCGGGAGGCTGAACACAGGAGGATCACTACAAGTCCAGTCCACTTAATGAGACACTGTAGCCCCTGTAACCCTTCCCTGAATCCATAAAAAATACAGTCTCCTGAAAATCTTTTGAAATAGTTGACTTTATGCCGATTATGATAAAACACGTTGCACCTGCCTGTTGCTGTCATTCCTTCTTGGCAGGTACCTGTTCACGCTGCACACTATCATGCAGAGCAGAGACAATAAGTTAACTTTTAAATTAACAAAGACTTCCACAGCAAAAGCCAGGAGAGATGTGACAAATAACCACTTCGTTATTCATAGTGGGAGTGAAATTTCTGAAGCTCCACTTGAAAATATTTTCTATGAGCCTTAAAATTTGTTGTGGCTTCTACTTTATTATGAATATAGTTTTCAAGTCTATGAAAATAGTCACTCAACTTTATGATTATAGATAAAATAAGTAAATGTCCTTTTATTGAACAATAGAGAATTTACGCAAATTAGATAATATATTTACAATTATTATCATTCACTTGTAGTGAATGGTTATAAAGAATCCTTAGTGACTGTCAGGAAATAGTAAATACTAAAATTAAAATGTAAAGTACATTTATTCATGCAAAGTGATTTAGTCATATAAAATGCATAGCAGTAGGATTGAAAATATATTAAAAAGATTACTTCTAAGGGGCGAGGTTACATGTCCCTTTCATTACTTTGTTTATATCTTTACAAACTTATTTATTTTCTGGAATCTATTATAATTAGTAACATAGGTTAGCTTTACCCAAAATATTTGACTTTCATAGGTGTTTTGTTTTGTTTTGTATTTTAGGGAAGGGATAATAGGGTATTCAGGGTCTCACTACTAGGTCAGATTCGTAGTGATCTGCCTTTTTACAACCTCACAAGAGCTGGGATTACAGGCGCGTGCTACTGTGTCTAGTCTCAATTACTATCTCAGAGCGCCCCCGGGTCGGCGCCGGCACAGCAGGCCTGGGGATTGAGTTCCCGGCCTCTGCACCTGCTTGCTGGTGCTTCAATCCGCTGAGCTCTTTTTCCGGCCCTTTTTCTTGCCTTTGGCCTGGAGAATGAACCTAAAATTATTCTGGTTTGGTTTCCCAATGTCAGCAGAAGACATACAAGAAGTATAGCACCCAAGAAAATGACATTTTCGGATACCGAGACAAAACCGCTGAAAGCTTTTCCAATCTGATCTTCATCGATTCCCAGCACCTTCACCCTGCTGCAGTTTCTGGGGCCAGCACTGGCTGTAAGAGCTGTAGCTAACCTTACGTACAGATAAATTTGCTGTAAGAGAGGGAAGCCCCGGGCAGCTCTGGCCCACAGCCGCTGCAGCGGGCTCAGCGCTGGCGTGCAGTTCGCGCTGAGGGAATCTGCGCTAAACATCCGACCCGGAGGGGCCGCCTGTGGACTTGGCACAGCAACAGGGGTTGCCAGGGTGCGGAAGTCTGCGTCCTGCAGCTGGGCAGAGTGTATCTTAGAGCCTGGCTCGGGAACCTATTGCTAGAAAAGTTCTACTTTTCATTGCAAGGAACAGCGAGCCATACGTGTAGCAGGCCCTCGTTACCAACTTGGGCCACTGTAACAAACTGCCACGTGGGTGTTTATGCCGCAATGAATTCTAATGGTTTTGGAGACCAGAACTGCAAGCTCAGGTGCCACGGAGGTTGCGCTGGGCTCTTGCCCGGGCCCTTTTGGTCTGAGTCCTCACTTGGGAGCAGGAGTCCCTTGCTGGCCTCCGACTTCTCCTTTAAATGACACGGATCACACTATGGGGTGTCCACCCCCGCGATCTAAAGTGCTCTGCCTCCAAATACTATTAGGCATCAAGGTTGAGACTTGCAAGTTTTGAGGGGCTTCAAGCATTTAATCCATTCTGGTCAGGTACGTATGTTTGCTTTACCCAAAATACTTTTATAATTTAAACATTTCTTTTTGTCCCCATTGTACTGGGGATTGAATCCATCCTTTCACAGGAAGCTGCATTTCTTATTTATTTATTTATTTATTTAAGACAGGGTCTCACTGAATCAGTAAGTTTTCTGGGCTGGAATTTACAATCCTCCTGCCTCAGCCTCCCAGAATTCTGGGATTATAAATGTGTCACCACCCTGGCTTGTTCCCTCTTTACTAGTCTATAAGGGAAGATGTACAGAGACAATGAACACAACATCTGTAACAGCACATGGCTGTATTGCTTTTTCCACTTATCAGCTGTCTGTCTCTCCCATCCCTTACTGGTGTTATTTTGAAGAAATTTCAAGGAATGGCAGTGTTAGAATAATTAGTACACCCATGAGGTCTTCCTTGTCACACTTACTCCTTTGGTTAGAAAGTATCTATTACATATGGCTACATGAACTATCACATGAAGGCCACACACATTATTAGGTACACACATTTTAGCAAATATCTTAAACGACACTGATGTTATGTGTTGTCTTGGAGATTTTAATAATTTAACATTCCTTACAACTTTTGTAAATTTCGAAAGGGAGCTAGCTATACAATGTAGTCTGTCCCTAATTTCCGTCTGGTGCTCATGTTCATGGGAAGAGTGTGAAAAATACTGGAGTAAAGGATTATTTTGAAATATCTTCCTAGATTAGTTTAACAGATATGTCATTACCTCACTCTTTACTAATCAACTTCTCCTTCACTTATTATACGTGCTGCTGAATGAGTGCTTCTCATTCACCTCTCTGGTACACCTGAAATATGGGCTGGCAACCAACACATAGCAAGAGAATTCCGCTTAAGCATAGACTCTAACACCAAATGTCTCCACGATAGCACATCTGTAATTACCTCTCATCCCGCCCAAGAAAATAAGTCTAAAATTTAAGATACAGTTGCTCCCCCTTAACCATGAGTTCCAAAGCTCTAGATTCAACCAAGCATTGATCAAAAATATTTGAAAATAGTTCTCTATACTAAACATATACAGTCTTTTTTTGCCAGTGTTCCTTTAGTAATACAGTACAATGACTGCTTACAGAGCACTGGCGTTGCCTTAGGTGCCACAAGTAACCGAGCAGAGCTTTGACACATACAAGGGAAGGTCCATAGGCTAGACACAGATTCCTCACCTTTAGACATAAAGGTCTGGAACACCTGCAGACATTCTATGCATAAGATCCCGGAACCGATTGCCAAGGGAAAGTGAGAGCTAACTGTGTTCAAAAATAACAAAGAATTGAAATAGAAACGTGCATGTCTCTTTTTAGAACAAGAGATTTTAAATTTGATGGATAAAAATCTTTACCTTGGGATATCACACATACATATTTCTCTTTGAGATCTGTTACTTTCCCCAGAGAAAAGCTGTACAATTACTCAGAAAATCTTATTAGATTTATCCTTTTCTGTAAGTATTTTGCTTTCTTATTTCATGGACTTGAATCTTTAGCATTTTATCTAAATTTTTTCCTTGCATATATATCTGTAAAATATCATCATATCTACATTTCCTGCCCACTTCTGTCTTGACATTTTTCCAAAAAAAAAAAAAAAATGCAACCTATCAAATGGGACTCAAAATTCCAAATTCACTATCATTCTCAACCTTTTGGCTAAGATCAAGGGTAGATCTTCAAAAGTAACACAATGTGTTTGGATGGTTACAGCAGGTCACACTCTACAGCTTCTATCATGTCTGGAGGAAGTTTGCCTGTATTTTCTATATTCCAGAAATATCAAGCCCCATTGTTAGCTCTTTGCTTTTGATTCAAAGGTGATGGCTATTGACTTTTAGCTCTCTCATACATGAAGTGTGTCAATGAATCCTAAGATATTTCTGTCATCCAGTACATTCTCCAATGTGGGATCAACCTCCCATTTTCTCCTCAAGGTTGCTGTCCTACAAATATACCAACCATATGCTTGGTGATCTAAAACACTGAGAACAATTTTTATACAAATAAGATTAAACTTAGATCATTTGTTTCTGCAAAAGTTACCCCAGTCAAAAACAAAACCCAACATGGTGGACTTCAGCATATCTAATGGACAGGAATAGTTCAGCTTCTAGAGGATGGGAAGGGCGGTCTGTGGGTAGGTAGATAAGTGCAGCCCCAAGGTAAGACATAAAATAGCAGAATTTCCTGAATGGAAAAAATGAAGGGGCAAAAAAGCTGTTGTAAAGAGTAGGCCTTGGAACAACTACCAGATAGCTCTTCAGGACAGGAAATGATTTGGTCCTGCTGGTTCATCTATGCAGATAAAAGCAGAACTGCAAGCTGTCGATTGTTAGAAAACAGAATACACATTGTTTAGGAATATATATAATTTAAGCCCTCCCCAACTCAGGAAAACTGGAAAAGAAAAAGAATAATCTTATTAAATAAATACTAAAATCTCTTCTCAGCCTGTCGGTCAAGATAAAGTACAAACACTGAACTATAACAAAGGAAGTCACAAAGGATTGAAACACTGAAAATAACCTCAGTCTTTTATGTATGTAAACCAACTGCATCAGAATTCTCAAGCTCAACAGTCCCTAACTAAGCTCAGCAGTCCCTAACTAAGAGGCCTTGACAGCACCATTTTTCAAACCTAATTATCTCACATTCACCAGGACCTTGGGGTGTTGGCTGGATGCAAAAAAAAAATAAATAAATAAATAAAAATAAAATTGTGCATATCTGGGAGATAGCTGCCACCAAATGTAGGCTCTTCTCCCTGGAGCTTTCTCTACTAAGCTTTGCATTTCAAAGAGGAGCTCTGGGCCCTCAGGCAGGCACCCTGCGTCTTAGAGCTGAGACCCAGGATGCCTTTGAGCTCCTCTTTAAAGAAGTTATGTACATTACAAAGAGCGGAGCTGGTGCTTATCAGGACAAGTTTCCATAAGTAAATGCTCTAAGAAAAGAGAGAAAGGGAGTCTTTTCTTGAATTTTCATTGACAATTTGCTCTTACAGATGATCAAAAAAAGTATGTATTTTTGTATTATGACTTTGCCATGGATCTTTTTTTTTTAAATTCTTCCAAAACATTTCAAAACAAAACAATAATTCTCAAAATGTTTAAGAGAACCCTAGATGGACCACAGTGCTTAACCCTTAAACCGAGCACCACCCGTGTGCCCCAGTCCTTCATAAATTCCTCACCACAGCTCCGACTGATAACTATAACTATGAACCTTGTCCTCCTTACTCCAGTTCCTGGATTTCTTTCTCGATACCAGAAATTATTTAAAGTCAACTGCTACGTATATTGGGCTTTCCTTGTGGTTGTTGCTGATGTGGAAACATTGTTTAGTAAATGTTAAGAGCAAAATGCTCTCAGGAATTGAAGTACAGAAATACAACTCTTGATTAATCCAGTCTGAGAATATAGGAGAGAATCTCTTAGGGGTAAATGACCCTTTTCCACCAACTGTTTTTCTTGCCTGAAACCCAGCCTGCTGAGCCCACTTAGAATACCAGCTCCCAGTTGGCTTCTCTCTCTCAAACCCCTAGCTTAGTGTTGGTCCCCGCCCCTTTACTGTGTCACTTGCTCATCACTGGGCTTCTCTTTGGAAGTCATCAGCTCTTAAAATACACTTTAGCTGCAACCTAATTATTCACAGTTCTCTCCTCATACAACTGTTGTCCTCCTGGACCCCTTCACTGTCTTTCAAGAACCATCCTGTCTAACAAGCTAGACATAACCACTTATCTAGAAGTTTACTCCTCATGTCAGCACTTGGACACTCCAGAGGGAGTCCACTGGGCTCCCCTCTGCCTCCTCTGCTACAGCACTGGACTGAGGCCCCATCCAGGACTCTTCAGTAAGCAGAGTGTTCCACAGTATCCTTCTTTGGTATAGCTGATGGCTTGCTATCTTAACAGCGAAGGAAGCTCCCTGAAGACAGAGATTATCTTTTTTTTCTCTAAGATTTTAGTGGTTTAGAACCTTCTGCATTTTTAGAAAATTGGAAGGATTTCTTACCTATATGTTTAGATGGATGAATGGATGAATGGATGGATGGATGGATGGATGGACAGATGGATGAACAGATGGATAGAACACTTCATACAACATGGAACCCAACCAACTTGGCTAGTGTACAATGACTGGCAGGGTACTGGCTTTAAAAACACAATTAAAATATATATTCAAAGAAGTTCTGTTGAGATTTAAAGAGATTTTGTTACAAGTAGCACATTCTAAAGTTAAAAGGATGTACAATAATTCACCTTTGTGTTATATTCTAAGGCTTATTTGAAGTGTCAAGTTCTTTTAGTATAGCTAACTTGGTTTATTGAAATATTCAATATTGTGTAGTGGTGTCACCCATTGCTCTCGATTTATTTTCCTGTGACTTTCTTCAGCTTATTTCTTCTTCTTTTTTTTTTTTTTTTTTTTTTCAGGAAAAAGTGCTACTATACTGACGGAAGGAGCAAATCAATGGGCAGGTTGGTGGGTGATGCATGATTTCTTTATGGCTATTTTGTCATTTGGGGGAAAAAAAGACGTTTGATTATTCAAATCAGCAGTTGTAAACTTCACGATAAAAATTCTCTTGATCTGACCAAGACATTTCTGAAATAATTTGTACCAAACTGAACATGTGTGTAATCGGATAATCTCTTGGCTACTCCTGTATTTATTATTGCTATTCCTGTAGCACTTCATGACAGTACTGTAGGAGGATTTTAACTGCACATTATCATCTTAAGAGATTATAATTTTTAAAATATCCAGGAAACCAGGACCAATGGATAAATGATGACAGGCAAGAGAAGTAGAGCAACCACCTAGCAAGTACCCATTTCTCATTTACTCCATAACTTTTATTGAAGATTACCATCATGGGATCTGCAGGGGTTTCCCAAAGTCTTGGGCATCTTTCTAATTCAGATCTAGTGTTACTCTATCACTTTCAGGTGCCTCCCTTGTCCTACTATAAAAAAATAAACTCACTTATAAGGGCTTCATCTCAAAACATCAGCTCTTGACCTATTGTAGTAAAAACAGCTATGGAAAACAAATTAGTGAAATCTAAACTCTGAAACAACAGATATTTCCACCTAAACTACCTTGGCACTGTTTAACTGAGAAAAAAATGGACTTCCGTTCAGTGACTATGCAAACAAAGCATGTCATATATTTGGCCGTTTTCTTACTCATTGGAAGAGAATCAATTAACAAAGAATATTTCAGTGAGGCACAGAACTCAGCATCCACTGAATGATACGTATGATGTCCCCAGTCAGGATCACACAAAAGCTGGAAACAGCACACAACCTGAATTTTAGGAAGAACTTGAGAAATCTGGGTGGTATTGTCAAAGAAAATTTCTGAATATAATTTAAAATTTAGAAATTATAATAGAAGGGAATCAGGGAGATAATTCAGTAGAATAAGTGCTTGCCTGGCAAACTCAGGATCCTGAGTTCAATCCCCAGTACCGAAAAAAAAATTACTACGATGATGGGAAATTATTTAAGGAAAATGCGAGCCTCTCTCTCTCAAACATTCAATTTCTGTGTGATAGAATTTGATAATAAGGAAAGCAAATCGCAGAGGAAAAAACCTTGAAATTAAAATGAACACTACAAAACTTAGTACTGAAATGATTTCTTAAAACTTTAATAGTGCTTCTTAGCAAAATCATTTATTTCTGTCAAGTTAATGCTCCAATTCAGAAAGAATTTTCATCATTTCGTATGTGAATGTTTGGTCCTGGTCTTTGCAATAAATTTTCAGTCATTTTATTTAATAAAACCAAAGTCACTAGACACTTGCAATATATAAACTTCTGATTGTAGATTTTTCTTGTTTTGTTGTGCATAAATGCCCTTTCTGTGTTGGATAGTTGATAAAATCTGCTTGGTAATTTTAGTGCTTTGCCTTAGAATTCGTGAGAGAATGTAACTTCCCATAGTGAGGGAGCTGTGCTGTTTATTGAATAGGCATCTTTCTTTCAGCGACTCATAAAAAATAAATCTCAACAAAAGTCTTTTATTAATTGCAGTGGTAGTTTAGTTTTAAAATGAACTTGTACTGAGAATCCATAACAAATATGTCTATCACATTAAATTTTAATGAATCAATTTAAATAGTGGAAAATAGTGTTCTTTCCCACTTTGGTCAACCCTACAAGTAAGGTAAAAAAAAAATGGACGCTATATCGGGAAGTCGCGGTCGCTTTGCCACTTGGGTGCATACCTTCTGAGGGTCGCATCACATCCTCGTCAAATGTCGTACACCTGGCCCTGCTGCCCCTTTCCTTTTCATTCATCACAGGTGCTTGTCTCTGTTTCTTGGCTTCAGGTACTTGCAAAAGGACATGAAACAAAAAAAAATACAGAAGTTTATAAAATGTCGTATTATCTTCTTTTTTGTTTTATGTGTTTGGTACAGGGTCTCACCACATAGCTTGGCCTCGTAGTGTTCCCCCTGCCTCAGTCTTCCCAGTACTGGGATTACAGGCATGTGCCACCACACCCAGTTCCAGTGGCTGGCATGACGCACCCAGGTTTCTGGGGTGGGCATGGCATGAGGTACTGGGGATTGAACCTGGGTCCTTGCACTTGCCAGACAAGCGCTTAGACTGCCAAGCTATCTCCACTGTCCATGTTATACTATTTTCAAGTGAAAAAAAAGAATAAGTATGCTATTTACCTAAATGTATACATTCAGTTCAGAAAATGACTGATTCTTTTCCTCCTTAAAGTTTTCCTTCGTAGAAAATTCAGGGTCATGTGTTTGTGTTTGTGCATGTGTGTGTCTGTGATATGCAGCCATTATGAACAGAAGACTCTAAAACGTAGTCTGCACCTGTTCTGTAAAGTGGAAAGTTAAAGGCCCATCTGTCCATGTCACCTACTTCTGTGCTTCCTTTCCTGAGGTCTTGGGCATGGTTTGCAGTAGCCCTACACTGGATTTTTTCATCCTCATATTCAAATCTACATGACCTCCATTCACTGTCAGATAGCACTCACCCTTTCACAAGACATACAGATGATAAGGCCAGCCAGATAGCTCAGCGGACTAAAGTGCCTGCTTAGGCACATGCAGAATGGGGGTTCCGTCCCTGATGTGCCGTACCATTCCAGCCCTACCCCCGGGGCATGCTGAGATGGCATTAGAGACTGGACATAGTGGCACTCACCTATAATACCAGGGCTTGGGAAGCTGAAAACAGGAGGATCACTAGGAGTCCAATCTACATAATGAGACCCTGTAGACCCTGTACTAAATACATTAAAAAAATGCAGGTGAAAATTTTAAACTGAGAACACCTTGTATGTTAGGTAAATGACACAGGTGATGTTGTGAAAGTCCTTTCCTTTCATATTTTTTAATTTTTTTTTAAATTTCACTTCCATTTTTTGTTTCTAATTTTGTCAGAGGTAGGAAGTTCTTAAGTCCCACAGTGCATCAACATCTTCTAATCACCGTCGGAGCATCTGCCTTTGTTTGACTTCCCTGCCACTTCTTCATGAAGCAGCACGGATGGAATTACTTTCTATCTTTAGGTCTCAGGAGCTTGGAGTTGAAAGACTGGAAACATGTGGTCCAGTTCCAAAGACTGGCACATTGAGCGGCAGGACATTCATCACGCATGGCTATTCCATTTTTGTAAAAAAGCAATGCAAAATTTTAAAAACTGGAGGAACTCTTGCATAGTCTATGTAATGTTTTCTACATGCCTGGGCACTGACCCATGGGGAACAGTGATATTTTATGAATTAGGATGCGGTCTTTATAGTGAGCAGCAGCAAAATGAACCCTTGTGGTATGGCTTCCTTTAGTTCTAGACAGGAAATGCATGCTGGGATTCCTCCGAATCCAAAAAACAGCCTGCTATCTAAATAATAGTCTTCCTTGGCAAGGGAAACAGCAAAGTTTTCACAACCTAAGCTTTATATCATGATTTGATGTGATTTCAAAATTCAACTCATAATTTTACCATAATAAATTTTATGAAATGATCCTTATGTTATAATGTCTCTGGTGCCTGCTTGTAACTGCCCTAATTTTTCTTTTCTTGAACTCCGAATGCTCTTTTCTTGAGCAAACAAATACTGTGATGTGTTGTAGTTGTGCAGGAGCATCCTCTGTTGTATCACTTTTGAATTACTATAGTAGAAAATGCCAAGAATTGCCCAGAGAACCTAGCGAGTGTAAGCACGGCACGATTTTTTTTTTAGTTCATGTAGTTATTATGGTAATTTAGAATTCAGACTTTCAGAATCAATATCTTTTTTTAAAAATAATTTTATTGAGAAACAATAGCAGTGAGACAGTTTTAAAACTGATTAGTAGGACAGTTTCAATAATTAATACACAGCATATTGTTGTCTTCTTAGTGGTTATTCATTGTACAAGATGCAGACATGATATCCTGTCCACAAACACTATTAGTGCAAATCTTTCCATTCATTGAATTAAGAGAAAGTAGCTGCATATCTATCCTAACTATTTTGTATACACAGATACAAAATGATCCTTCATTTGTATCCCCTTTTTTTGATTAGTTTCATCAGAGAAGGGTATTCTACTGTCATTTAAATATTGTAGGTACATAAATTCAGCAGAATATTCCAGTATAGTGCAGTAGTCCATAATAGTCGTGGGTGATCCATAGGAGTGGCAACGTCAGAAGTTGTTGACTTGACCATTTTACAGCTCAGCATACTGAAGTCAAGAAGAGCATGGAGCAGAGTACTTCAAGTCCTCTATGAAAACAAATCCCAGAATCAATTTCTGACGACAATCTCTCCCTTCTTATTCTCTGTAAGATGAAAGTGACTAATCAGTACATATATATGTATGCCATAGTAATGACTGTCATCTATGCTGAGCCAAAATGTCCCCGTGTCAGATTCCCTGACAGGGAGCTCTGAAGGAGAATCTGCCCAGAGTCTCTGACAAACCCATCGCTCCAGAGATACATCATACACACCAGCCTGAGCTTCCCCAGGGCGTGACTTGGAAATGCAACATCTCAGGCTCCACCCCAGGCCTAATACATCAGTGTTTGCATTTTGACAGCACTGCCAGGTCATTCCCACTTTGAAAGTCTTAAGTGTATGGCAAAGCTCCGCTCAAGTTTCCTTATTACTAATGACCAGCTTTAAAGTGCAGGGTCAATTTGCAGCTCCCCAGCAAGGTCACTATTATTTTTACTTACTGACTGTGTGTTTGCAGTTGTGTCTGTGGACCCTAAGGGAAGAAAAATGGAGTGACTTGGGCAAGTTCACTGATTCAGTCCACTGCAAGCTCTGTTCTAAGCCAGCTTTGCTTGGTTCCCAAGTCCTTTGCCTGGGACATGTTGTGCTGAGTGTGGGTCATTCCTTGCTGTCTTCTCAGTCTCTGCTTGCGTAGCAGCACATTGCCAGATTCTCTTTAAAAGAACAAGAGAGTACTCCATCTCTACATATAGAGAGATGTATGAACAGAGACATACACGTAGCTTTAGTAAAGATATCATGCTGGTCTTTTTATTTATTTATTTATTTATTTATTTATTTATTTATTTTTGTATTTTAGGAAGGGTCTACAGTCTACAAGGACTCACTGTGTACATCGGACTTGTGATTCACCTATGTTCAGCCTCCCAAAGAGCTGGGATTATAGGCAGGAGTCACCATTCCCAGACTCCTTTTTTTCATATTTTTCCATAATTTTATTGAGAAATAAATAGCAATGAGACAGTTTCAAATCAAATTGGTAGGACAGTTCCAATAATTAACACATTGCATACTGTCTTTCTAGTGTTTATTTGTTATACAAGATGCAGGCATGATATCCTATTTACAAACACTATTAGAACAAATCCCTCTATTCATTGAGAGAATGTAACTATATATCTATCCTAGCCTTTTTGAATACAGACACAAAATGGACATTCATCTGTATCCCCTTTTTTGTTTAGTTCTGTCATTTGAATGTTATAGGTGTGTGAACTCAGCAAAATATTACAGTAGTCCATAATAGTATTGGGTTTTCCACTTGAATGGCAATGTCAGAAGTTGTTGACCTGAGTCCCCTACAGCTCAACATAACAGCATGGCTTTACTTCTTATATATTGTTTTTATACTTTTCTGTTGAATGGTTAAGACCAAGATAAAGCAAGACCTATGCAACAAGAGTTGTAGCTTTTGGATTTGATAAGGTCAGTCAAATCCCCTCAGGATTTATCCTGAGATCCTGTACCTCAGATTGTAGAACCTTTGTCAGTGTCAGCCATGTGGATGAGTCATGGCCATTGCTTGGCCAATGTGCTCTATGTAAAAGCCTGAGAGAGTGTTTTCTCTCCATTTGACTCTCCTTAGGCACACTCTACATCATTGATCACTTTCCTCTTTGGCCCCATAATCGTCTTGATCAGAAAATTTGGGACACAACTGAGCTACATGACATTACAGTACAAGTTCTCATATATCCTGAGTCTTAATTGACCTTGGAAGGCTAGGGCCAAAATGTTGGCTTTCCTTGCAGCCCTCCTTTTTCTCTAACTTTTAGTCTGCTAACTTAGGTTGTTGATCCTCGAGAAGAGAAGCTTATTATTATTACCATACAACCTAGACTGTTGAGCTTAACCTCACTATCTGTCTGAATATTAAACATCTTAGGCTGAACATGGAATAGGTATTTTTCATCAAGTATTGATATGTTGAACTTTAAGTTCCTACAGAATATGATGAAAAAAGTTGAAATATATTTTAAAAATAGGAATAAATAATTATATATGTTTACACATAAGTCCAGAAATCTAACCATATACAACGTTGTAGCAGGACAGTCCCACAACACTCCTTTTCCTGTCTCCTGCCTTCATTCACCACCCCTTCCTTTTTAAACAATCATCTGTCCAAGAGACAGCACGGCAGCAACTGGCTTGTCATGACAAGCAGCACATATTGAGAAGAGCAGAATGACAGGCATGACCAAGCATGAATCTACAATTGCAAATTGCTATCTTCAGTGCAGTTGCTTAGTTCACAGTCCACATTTTTATTGAGAAACAAATAGCAATGAGACAGTTCAAATCCAATTAGTAGGATAGTTTCAATAATCAATACATTGCATATTGTTGTCTTAGTGGTTACTCACTGTACAAGATGCAGACATGATATCCTGTTTGCAAACACTATTAGAAGAAATCTTTCTACTCATTGAATTAAGAGAATGTAGCTGTATACAACCACGCCCAGTCTCCATCATCATTTCAGCACTCCTGGAGGTGGGGCTGGCATGGCATGCCGGGGATGGAATCCGGCTGCTGTGTCTACTAGACACTTTAATCCGCTGAGCTATTTGGCCAGCGCTGCTGGTCTTTATGCTGTGTCCTACCACCATCTTTTTGTATGGTGATTCTTAAATGTTTTCATACATTTATTCAAGGGGATACATAGATTTTTGGAGATACTTTTTTCAGAGAGTTTAAATGAACACAGTGCTTAGTTGGTTTTGCTGGTGATCTCTTCAGTGTGGGACTAGAACAACACCCCTGGACGAGTGCGTGGCTGTGTGGAGTGGTCCGTCTGTCTTTCTGGACCTCTTTCTTTGATATTTCAGAGAACTGTCAAGGGAGGTTAGTATAGCTCTGGAATGCGACCTAAGCTATTTCTGAAATGTGATTTTCTTCCAGGGTACAGAATTACTTTAAGAGAATCAAGAAGTGGATGTCCCAGAACCCAATGGTTCTGGACAAGTCAGCGTTTCCAGAGCTGGGGGAATCAGCCTGCTACACTGGCCCCTTCAGCAGAGCCCGGATTCACCAGTGAGTTCTGTCTCTTTCTACCACCTGGGCTTTGCGAACAGAACACGCGCACCTGGGACCAATTTGATTGTTGGGCAAGTAGGTCTCAGGATGGATCATTGTATTGAAATGTCCACCTAACTTGTGAGCAACAGTAAGCAAACATTATTCTTTATTAATGTGGTAATGTAGAAACATTGTACTAGCAAGTAATTATTCATAAAGGCATAACTGGTAGTCTTGCTCTCACCTCTTTCAAAATTATCATGTGTTAATAAGTCACCCAGTGAAAATAACTATAATGGTAATAATAATAGGCTTTCTATAAATAATAGATTATTCTAATTGGTAAATTATTAAACACCATACTAGAAATGAATTCATATATTCATTAATTAAGCCATCTGTTTTGCATTAAACTTAGTAAGTGAAGGTGAGAATTTCCTTAGGGAGTATTGCAAGACTCTCTTGCTTACATGTTTATTTATGTATTCATTATTTATTGATGTTTCTATTTGAATAGCTTTTACTGAGGTTCTACATGACACGCCTGAGCACTCAAAGCAGATGAGGACAGTGTTTCTCTTTTTGTGGTTCTCATAGTCAAATGAGGCAGAAAAAATGTCAATTTCTACTTCAGTGTAACAAAGCTCATTTAAGATAGATATAAGCCTAGTGTAGGGCAGAGGCTGTAGGCCCCGCCCACTCAACCAGATTAACTTGGATTTGGCAGTATGGAAGTTGAGAGAAGGAGAAGAGAACCCCAGACTCACTTAGCCACCACCAGCCAGCGGCCGTGCAAACCCCTCCCTTCTGAGGGCTCTGTCTCCTCCGTTGCCGATTCTTGGCAATGGACTAAAAGTGACTTTCTGTCCTGCTCCCACTCGGGTGTCACCACTCTGGAGAAACTCTCTGAAAACTGAACCCCAAGTTCCCCCCAGGAGCTGTTTCCAATGCTCCTGGGCTATTTCAGTCTCCTTCAAGGCAATGCTTTGAATTTGATTCTTTGCTCCCTTGTGTCATCTGTTTCCTGCCTACATACTGAACAAACTGAATTTTGAAAAAATGTCTGCATGAAAGAAAATCAAGATATCTGCTGAAGAAATACTTCTGCAGAGGTGCCGACTCGGCTGATGGTGACAGCAACCTCAGAGCTGTGGAACGTCCTCACCACCCACAGCTGACAGGACCCTACATTTGCTGATCTAAGCGCAGAGATAAAGTACAGAGCGCACCAAAGCTGAGGGACTCGCACGCCAAGGCGGTGCGGCGATGCGCGCATGGAACAGGGCTGAGAAATTCAGTGTTCATGAAAGACACAAGCAAAATGCATGTTTAGTCATACAACAAAGAATCCACGTTAGGAGGAGGGGGTCAGGGAGCCTTTTGCAACGAGAGAGCCCCTCTACAGCAGGAGAGGAATGGGTCAGAGAGTGGGGTGGAGAGGAGGAACAGACACTGGAGAGCGAAATCTGCCGCGCAAGAGCCAGGGCTTTTTAACGTGATGGAAAATTATGCACCCACATAGATGAACAAAGACAGAAGCCAGAGCTCTAAGAAGTGATTAGAAGTTTGGTTTAAGTGCCGTCTAGAGAGATCGGTAAAAAAAAAAAAAAATAAGAACTATAACTGTGCTCAGAGCAGAGAGCAGCGGGCTTGCTCCAGGTAGAAGAGAGCTGGAGGATCAGACCGCGCCGCGCTGCAGCGACCGGGGAGCGATTCAATAGTGAGTCGTAGTGGAGTCTGGCTCAGTTTCTGCAAGAGACCAGAACACGCAGAGCAGCAGGGGTGGTGCCCACTCCCGACTGTCTCCCTCTGGACCGTGCACATACACAGGGCGAAGAAGAGGCAACGATCAGGGAAGATATAGCCCTGGAGGGCTGAGTGCCTGACACGTGACACGTGGGGCCCTGTCACTTGCAGAGATGAATCCCTGGAGACAGAGGGCTCAGATCTGAGTGAATGAGACCTAGCGCCAGCACACCCCTCGCCCCTCCTTCCTCCTTCCCTCCCTCCCTCCTTCCTGCCTTCCTTCCCTCCTTCTTTCTTCTCTGAGGTTAACATATACCATAGAGTAAAGGCTAGAGCAAGCCCCTCTCTCCTGTACTCTTTACACCTTGGGCCCACACCTGGCCCCCCTGCTTATCCTCACACACGGGGACAATGTAGGATATGGAAGGGAGGAAAAGGCTTGCTGCTGCCAAATTCTGGGAACCAGGAAAGCTGGGCTGGAAACTGTGGCATGGAGGAATGATATCAATTTTTAATGCAATTGATTTAGAACAGCATTGCTTTAGAGAGTACAAAATTCATGTGAACCAATGAACAATTTATTCTCCCCTTATTCTATGCCAAATAGAAAAAGAAAGAGCACACTTAAACTTCCCTGCACACTGAAAGAAGATATTGACATGAATATTTGATAACCCCTTGCATTTTCTATAAAGTCTCTCTTACACTTTGCCAATTGCTTTTTTCAGAGAAGGATTTCTCTTCTGAATTACTATACTTTAAAGGAATTAACTTTAATGGAGAAGAAAGATGGCTGGCTACCCAGGAACTGGGGGGTGTGGCTGGTCTCTGCGTTCTGCTCAGAATGTTAAATGTAGCCCCTTCATTTAACAGCTTCATCATAAATAACAAGGACACCTTCTTCAGCAATGCAACTCGGAGCAGGATAGTGTATCACATGCTGGAGCGCACCAAGTACGAAAATGGGATCTCCAAAGTGGGTAAGGACAAGGCTCGACAGTGGGCAGACACTGGGTGTGAGTCAGTAAAAGCGAGGTTTTTTTTTTTTTTTTTTTTTCATTTTTGAACAACTGAAGCTTTTCGTACATTAAATCCAGCTATATAACACACTGAATACCAGTTCTACAAACTTTCTTTTTTTTTTTTTACCTATAAACTTTCTATTTTGTAACTTTTTAAACAAACAAATCAACAAAATCTACTTTGGAAGAGATTTCCTCAAATGTAAAACATACGTATTCTGTAGGATGAAATATGTTTTTGAAATTTGTCTTAAAATACTAATCACACTTTTGAATGACAATACAGAGAAGGTGGTTCATCACTTCTTTACAATAGATTAAAATTAACAATACCTAAAATGTTCATCGTTGGGATTGAATGGCGAGGTAAATTCTGCCTGCATGAAGCACTCATTACGGACTGTACTTATTCTCTCTACTTATAACAGTTTCTGAGCATGAATTATGTGTAGCATAAACTCTTCTCAGAGATTAAAATTAAGTCACTAGTTCCCTGTTTGTTGACTTTGAAACATCCACAGTGCATTCCTAGGTGAGCCAAAGCGTGTTACAGAGCTCTAGGTCTTTCACAACTCAGTCTTCTCCATAAGCATGCATGAAAAGAAAGAAAATGCTCAGGAAATAAAATGTTTTCAAAAACTCATAGAGATCATGTCTGGATAGCGAAATGTTAGCTAATTTTAATTTTCTAAATTTCTGCTTTTTGAGGGTTAAACTGTCTGCTATCACACACATAATACCAAGGAAAATTGAGTGTCTCATCTAGAAAAAGTAAATTAAATTGCTAAGCTTACATAACACTGAGAAACAAAAACAGGCAATAAGCCGTCCTTTTACTGATAAGGCTGAAAAATGCCTCACTGGAGACACAAAATAGTAGGCACATGGCTAGATGTTCTTGAAATTAAAAAGTCACAGTTACACAAAATTTATACCTCCCTCTGCTGATTGGTTTTTAAGATGGTGTCCCACATCCCTAAAATGAATTGCTTCCACTTTAAAATTGTCACTATTTTAGCCTCTATTTTTTGGTGTGTGGTTAACAATTTACAAACGAGTGATCGTCAACATAATTAAACAGCAAAACTTTGCCAGAACTGGGAAATTCACAGGGAAACTTTCTAGAAAGTCAAGCTGGAGAAGTCTAGGATATGAGCTCAGCATGTGCCCTGGTAGCTCCATAGACTTAAAAAGTATATTTTAAGTTACTATAAAGATTTTGCACACTTTGTATAATATAATAAACAGAGGAAAATAAGAACAAATGAATGAGGGCCAGCCAGACAGCTCAGTGGATTAAAGTGCCTGCTTTGGCAGAGCACAGAGGCCGGGGTTCCATCCCCAGCGTGCCGTACTGGGCCTGCTGCTGGGACTCACTGAGAGACGAGTGAGAGTGGGAGTGGAGGTGCCCGCCTATAGTCCCAGCACTTGGGAGGCTGAACACAGGAGAATCACTGTGAGTCCAATCTATGTAGTGAGACCCTGTATACCCTGCCCTAAGTTAATTTTTTAAAAAAAGATTCCTTAATAGTATAAATGCAAAAGGGTTAAAAGTAAAACAAAAATTGCCTCTAAGTGCAATTTTCACTCTTACAAATTTATATGAAGTGCAAGCATTAGGGAATGAGAAGATAGGTCAGCCTAAGTGCGTGCCCAGGCAGGTGTAAAGACTGGGGTTCAATCCATGGCACCAGATGCTGGAAGGGCCCCACCTGGGGCACACCAAGCTGGCCTCCAAGACCAGGTATGGAAGCGCACCCTTGTAATCTCAGCACTGGAGAGGCTGAAACAGGAGGATCACTGTGAGTCCAAGCTGCTCACTGAGACCCTGTATCAAATACATTAAAACAATACAAAACAAAATAAATATATGTAATTGACATATATATTTGTGTGTATATGTGTGTGTGTGTGTCTGTCTGTCTGTTTAGTAAGATATAAACATACATTATTTGCATTATTTTGTCTTTAGAAAGTTCCCTTTCTGAGTATGTTCTCAAACTTCAAGTACTATTTGCCAACAATTCTGTATGAATAAAGAGGCATACAGGGCTGGCGAGATAGCACAGTGGACTAATTACCTGCTTAGGCAAGCACAGGGGCTGGGGTATGATTCCCAGCACCACATGCTGCACCAGCCCCACTCCCGGGCACACTGAGCCAGCCACCAAGACCCAGCATGGTGGCGTACACCTGAAATCCCCGTGCTGCGGAGACACAGGAGGACCCTTATGAGATCAAGCTGTGCAGTGAGACCCTGTACCGAACACATAATATATTTATACAATATTCTACAGAAAGGATTTTTTGCATCACAATTATTTGAACATCCAAAAGAAGTTAAAGTATCATGATATTGAAAGGATTCCTCATATGTTCAATTGTTTGTAATTATTTATTAATAATTAATCTTGACACAGAAGATTCTCTCCGGAAAGGCTTCCCAATATGCATTCTCCCCAACATCCCATAAAAGTGTCCGCAGAGCCAAGATCTAGAAGAGATGGAGGTCATCTTGGGTTTCTTATACTGTTATTTGTGTCCTCTTGCCTTGGTGTAAACAAATAAAGATTTCTCAGTACAGTAACAGTTTAAGATATTTTGGGAGAGGATGAGGATTTCCACTTCTTCCTTCTGAACACAGGGTCAGTCTTGTATTGAAGAAGAAAGCAAGTTCCCTTGTTTCATGGGAACCTAAATCAGTGAGTAATAAAGCCCCTCCCATGTCACGGTGGGGCGAGGCTGTGTCGGATCTCGGGATTAGTCTGCTCGCTGAGGCTGAGGACACCAGAGGGTTGCACGGCAGTCACCTCCCCACTCACACTCTACTTAAGGGCTGTGCTGCAGTGGAGAACATTCAGGGGATTTCCATTTTCCATTTTCCATTGATTCTGTGTCCCAAGGATATGTATGTGCTACAGAGGGAATTCTTCACTGATTTTGCTGTCCTTTTTCCAGGTATCCGTAAACTCATAAACAATGGCTCCTACATAGCAGCATTTCCTCCACATGAGGTAATTTTTAAAGACCATGTCTATTTTTAATTTTTAAATTTATCTTGCTCAATGCTTGATCCTGTGTTCTCACTGTGTAAGTCTGACTGCCCACCTCCACAAGAATGCACTCATGGCTGGCCCAGGAGCTGCTGAGACACCACCTGCAGGGCTGTGGCTCCCCCGTTTGCTAGGGCTCTTGCAGCCCCCCCATGCAGGGCCCCCTATTCAGCATTCACAAGCAGGCTTACCTCTTCTGCCTGTCGCTCTCTGCTCCAATGCCAGGCTCCAGCCAGGAGCCTGTTGGACACCCCCACCTCTCCCAAAGGGCTTGGCCCTCTGTGTTAGGTACTTTCTCATTGCCGGGACACAATATCAACACAGAACAAAAGGAGGGCACGTTTATTTTGGCTCACTGTTGGCACAGGTTCAGTCCCTGGTCAGATGGCTCCAAGGAAGCAGGGAGTGAAGGTCTGGGGAGGGACACAGACCCATGTAGGCCGTGCCCATGTGACCTGTTCCCACTGACCAAGCTTCCCCTCCAAAGAGCACACTTAGGTACAAACTCATCTACCAATGTGTGTCACACTGCTTGGGGCCAATCACCTCCTGAAACCCTGGCTATGAAGCATCAAGTTATAAACAGGTGCTCCGACCTCCTTAGGACACCAGACAATCACATGGCCCCTGTCACCATCCCTGATGGCCTATGTTATTCCCTACCTGATTTGCCTTCTTACAAACTTTAAGTGGAAATGCTTACTCTAGAATGCTTTGGGCTTACCCACAAGGAAAAGGTTGGGATCTGCCTTTAGAACTCCTTCCCCTCTCCTCTCCTGGCTTCTTTCTTAAAGATGATTTAACATTTTAAAATTAGAGTAAGGTCTTTACCAGTTTCACGGTGGAACTTCCAGCAGTGATTTCTCTTCTGTTTATAAAGTGAAGGTAGAGGTCATGGGACACAGGGAATGAGGAATTTACAGTGTTGCAAAAATAATAGTAAATAAAACACGCTGAGCGTGTGCTGTTTGGTGGTAAGCTCAGTGTTTTATAAGGATTATCTCACTTGCACCTTGCACCAATCCTTGGAGGTAAAGAACAATCTTAACCCTATTTTATTTATGAGTAATTGAGGTATAAAAGGTTAAATGTCAGAGAACCAGTATTTCAAGCCCAGGGAGCCACTCTTAGATGCTCATATTGTTTTAGGAATTCCTGTTTACAAAAAGTATAGGAATAATAGCACATTTTAGTTGTGTTCCTTGTCTAGGTTCTAGCATGAATTTTTCCATTATTCTACCAATAACAGTGGAGGGATAAGTACTACTCTTCCAATGTCATATCTACACAAAGCTAAAGGAAAGTAAATAGGGTGTCAGATACCCCAAAGTTAGTACTAAAATATTCAGGGATGCAGAACAGGGCCCTGATAGGACGTTTGAAGCAAAGGAAGCTTTGATTTTTGCTCTGTGGGGTAGTTTTCCCTACATAATTAGGCTGTGTCCTCCTGAAAGTTTATTTGACACATTTTTTGTGTGAAACTTGGAATCTACTAAATTTATTTGTTTATTATGTATTTATTTTGTGGCACCAGGGATCGAACTCAGGACCTTGCGCTTGCCAGGCAAGTGCTTATGCCACTGAGCCATCTCCCTGGCCCCTGATATCTACTACAATCGGGTTGCAAATACCAGTCATTTTCCCATGTATGCATACAGTTTAGTTGAAATACTGGCCTGTGGAATACATACAGTAGTGCTCTATGCAGAACAGAGACAAACAGAAGAGAAATCAATGCTTTTTAAGTACAAGGATATAAACAAAGCAGAAAGTGAATAAAACGGGCTCAAGAACTTCTCTTGGATTTTAAGTGATACTGAAAGAAGAAAAACAAGCTCACTAATAAGAAAATTAAGTCACCATTACGGGCTATGGCTTGATTTTCACTTTTCAATTCATGACTTTTCTTCCTCATTGATGAAGGAGATAAGTGGCAGTGTTGTATATTTTACTGTTATCTGAGACCTCTTTTAAGGATAACAACTAGCTGGGGGGGGGAAAGGCATTTGCTGAGGATATCAGTGGGATTACATAGTTCTCTCACTATGGAAATGGAGGACACAGGAAGAGCAGAGATTCATGAGTGCACAGGAGTAGTCCCACCAGCCGATTTGCACCTCAGCGCTCTGCCTGTCAATGCCAAGGCAGAATGATGAGTAACTGAGGCTCAGGAGCAGAATTAGTACAGTGGTATGTCAAGTACACCAAGGCTTAATGTCAAACCAAGAACATAGTTGTAGTGGCCACCACGGCTGTTGGACCCATCCCATTTCTGTTGCTCAGACAGAATACCCGACATTCACCACCAGAAGGAGAAAAGGTTCCTGTGGCTCATTGTTTTGGGGGTTACAGTAGATGGCTCACTACTTCCAAGGTACAAGTGGCAGGGCAGAAGGACATGATGGAGAAAATCTGCTCATGGTATAGAAAAGCAGAGAAGAGCCGCTCCACAAACCCCGCACACCCCGTGAGGCACAGACTAGCACCCCACCTCCTTCAGCCCCGCCCCGCCTCCTGACAGCCCTGTGAGCTGCAGACTCATCAGTGGCCAAGTCCTGTAATGAACCTGGTGCTCCTCTGGTCCAGGCACTTCTCCAGTACCCATTAGGAACCCTGCTGCCACCCTCACTGTGAAATTCTCAATGGGTGAGTGGCTGTAGTAGGCTCACTTAGCCACCACTGGGGAGGAAAGTTATGCATTTCTGGAGAATCATCAGCAGTCGTTGAAAAAAAGCTGAGGTTTTGTTTTACCTTCCTTTATTCAGCAAATCTCAGGACAGTCTGCTGTACCGGTTCAGTCCATTTTCACAAACCTTTCTCCAGTGGGGCTCCCTATGCCTGGACGCTGGATCTTTGCTTCCATCTCCTCAGCCTGAAACCCACAGGAGTTAGATGCCAGACCAGCTTCAGGAAGGCCGCTCTGGGGCTGCACTCAACTGTGCCTTCACCCTTCCCTGGGTAATTTAAATGTCTCTCCGCAGAGCCTCGAAGGCCTCGCAAGCCATGATTTGAAGCCTGCTCTGTCTCTGTAGGGATGAACAGCCAAGTTTCCCGGACACATTTAGCTCTAAAACTCACTCTGATGGGTTTTTGAGAGATGAGATAACATACTTTTTAAATTCTTCAAATTTGGAATATGTTTTAGATTTCTTAGGGTTTAAAACATAATTAGAACTGAGGTTGAGGCCTCGTCCTTTCAAAAGAGCACTTTCTTCCATAGCTGCTGTAAACGAGATAAACAGTTCTGAGAGGTTATCACAATTTGCAGCCGAATGACACCCTCAGATTCTAAGCTAAGGGTTGCAACAGTTTCTCCTGTTACGCATGAGAACAATGTGTTTATTAAAAGGCCATAGATTCCAAAGGCTGAAACTTGAAGTCTGGCTTGCTTCAAGTGAAATGCATCCTAGTTATTTACCAATGTGATTTAAAATAGATGCACCTGGGAAGCATAGTATTGAATGAAATAAATGAGACGCACATGCTAAAATACTATACAGTGCCTGTCATTTGAGAGGGACAAAGAACAAAGCAACAGCCAAGTAAAAAGTGATCCGGAAAGTATAAGGGGCTAGACCGCAAGGCTGAGGTGGGGTGGGGGTGAAGAATTAAGATCTGCCGTGTGGGGTACCAAATACTATAAGCGAGTGCAAATAATATGTGTCAAAAACATGAACTAAGAATAATAGCAAGAATGAAAATGAGGGAAAGGGACTCAGACTTGCAGGGTGAGTGGCGGGAAGGAGAGGGAAGGGATGAAAGAAAGAATCAAGATGCATGGTGCGCAGGCGCCCACTTCCCACGACGGGTGGAAACTTCTTGTACTGCGAAAAGATACTAAAAAGTGAGAACAAAAACTAAAAGAATAAATAAATTAAATAAATGATGTTTAAGGAACTTGCGGAAGATTGCCAGCAAAAATAGGCTTCTACCCATCGTTACGGTATTAGGCCTCCGTGTATGAGCACTGAAGCTTTCGCTGGATTGCTAAATTATTCTGTAAGGAACGAAGCTGTTCTTGATTGGTTCACATTTCTCCAGGAGAATGCGTAGCAATGCCTGTTGTCTTGTGTTTCAGGGAGCCTACAAGAGCAGCCTGCCCATCAAAACCCACGGGCCTCAGAATAACAGACACCTCCTGTACGAGCGCTGGGCGCGCTGGGGAATGTGGTACAAGCACCAGCCGCTGGACCTCATCAGGTCCTGCAAACGCACGGAGCACGGAGAGCCAAGGGGCTGCACTGTGGCCTCGGTCTTGGGCTTCATGATTGTCCTCGCTGCCTTGTGTCAGGGGAAAAGTGACAGGGAGCGGAGAAGCCTTGGGGTGATGTTTCACGGAAGAAATTGGCACAGGGAACTTGTTATACAAACAGATGGGCAAGCTCAGAAATCAAACGTAACCTTTTAAATTAAAGAGGGGTTAGCAGCAACAGCAGCAGAAAATCACTAACTTGCCAAGGGGTACAGGAAAACAGGACAAGAGGTTCTACCGGAGTGCAGCCCCTGGGCCATAGCTTACATGCACAGCCTTCGGGCACACGGGGTGGAGGAAGAGCCTGGGTCGTTCCTTCCATCTTTATGTTAGCAGTATCCCTGGTCCGGCAGCACCATAACCTGCTTCCCAGGGAACCAGGGTAATCTGCCACTCTTTTGAAGATCAATAGGGCCCTTGAAAGAAGGGCATAAGCATGTCCTTTCGCTCTAGAAACTTCCCTGTCACCAAAATTAAGCTGGTGGAGAGGAAGACACCCCTATTGAACTACACAACCTTGGGTACAGAATTTTGTACAAGGATTTTTTTCATAACTAACAGGCAGATTGCCTTGAAAGTGTTTGACTTCATAATATTTGAAAATTCGGTTGTTCTTAAGGGTGTGCACTGTCGAGGCTGCGGTGCTCCTTCCGCCTTGCCCGCTCTGTGTCGTGAGGGGACGTGGTGCTCAGGAGCCGGGCACTCCACACGCTGGGCTCGCGGGTGATGGAGAAGACAGGGAAAGCCCGTGTGCGCGCCGCGGGCTGCGCCGTGGGCCGAGGCAGAGAGGGGTCCGCTCTTTGCCCTCTTTGTGAATCATTATTTCTGGACGTGTGTTTGTGTGTTTTCACACTGTAAACACCATATGGAGCCGCGCAATAACCAATGCTTGTGTAGTTTCCATCTGTTTTCCCCTGGAAAAAATTTTAAACTGGAAAGAGGGCATTTTATAATCATTAGCTACAAAACCTGCTTTGAAAAGGTTATGTGACAATTTAAAGGATATTTCACCATAGGCATCAGAAAGATTTAAAATTACAAGTAGAATTTCTGAGCTGAGTCATGATCTCCGCAAGAGCAGATTCCAACGTGTATTTGAGGCTGGCATTCAGCGACAGAGCGGGTCAGCAAACGGAACACGGCAGGGAGCAGCGCTCGCGTAGGGCGGCTCCTCGGTTCCCAAACGCTGCTGTGCCAACGGTTCAGTTCACAAACATAAGCTGTTGGTAAAACTTTGCTTCCCTTTGAGAGCTCTTCATTAGGCAACAAACCCGACTGCGGTCATCTTCTCCGGAATCGTGGAGACAATGAAGTTCGCGAACAGAGATCCTACTGCACGTAGCCGGGGAGCGGGTGGTGCTATGGTGGAAATGTGGTGGGGAGTGGCCGTGGGGTAACCCTCCCCCCCTCTTGAGCGCTGTGATGGTTTTGAAACAGCTTAGCGAGTGTATAAGGCTAGAGTCCCGGCACTCTGGGTCGAGGCCACTTCCACCTGTCTCTCTTTGGTATTAGTCTCCACCTCTCCTGATACAGATCTCAAATCTTTTTATTATTATTTGTTAATTAATATAGGGTCCTGTTATCCAGCTCAGACTCATAGTGATCCTCCTGCCTCAGCCTCCCCAGTGCTGGAATTACAGGCCTGCACCCCACGCCTGGTTTCAGGGCCTGCACCACACACCCAGAGCCTGGCATGGTTGCAGTACTGGGGATCTAACCCAGGTCCTTGTGCTTCCCAGGCAGGCGATTAGGCCACCGAGCTGTCTCCCCAGCCCTGAAATCTGCCTTAATGCAAGTGACTATACTTCAAGTTCGTAATACTGTGGCTCCTCTCCACTTTCAATGGTGTAGAGTCTAAATCTTAATCCAACACTTTCTGTAGAAGCAGACATTTTTCCATGCCCCTTATCATTGTTACAAAGAGATTCCGCCATGTTTGCAGTGGGCTCCAAAACCCCTCTCCAGGGCCAGAAAGATAGCTCAGCAGACTAAACTGCCTGCTTAGGTAAGCTTAGGTAAGCACAGGGATGATGGTTTGACCCCCGGCACCACATGCCACACCAGCCCCACTCCCAGAGAGGCTGAGCAGCCAGGGTCCAGGAATGGTGGTGCACACCTGCAATTCCAGCACTGGGGAGCCTGAAAGCAGGAGGAGCACCATGAGTCCAAGCTGCATAATGACACCCTGTAACACCAAATACATTTAAAATTAAAACAAACAAAAAACAAAAAATAAAGCACAACCCTCTCCATACCAGCTAGGAATACTTATTTAAGGAAAAAGTCTCTTTGATTAGTGTCAAAAGCTTATATTCTAATGATCAACATAATAAGCTCCAGCTTCAAAGCCTATCTGAGAAATGAAATGACAACTGTAGATTGGTGTTTCTCAGGAGAAATAAATAAATGGGAAAAATTGGATAAATGTGTTGAAGGGAAGTTGACTCCAAGCCCCTACATGGTGAAATCTGTACAGAATTTAATTGGCACAATACAGAAAATTAAGTCAAAAGAGTCTGTCTTTCAGAAAGAGGAGACTACAGTAAAAATGACAAGAGAATTTTCTTTGCATCAAGAATAACTTCCCAGCAGACCTGCAGAAATCAGTGGCACGGTTCCCCAAGCCACCCTGCACATATACATGGACAGATCTTTTTCCCTTCTTTCTTTTGTCCTTTTCCTCATCCCAGTTTTTCCTTCTCTTTGAATAGATTCTTTTCCTTTCAGGGTATCTACTGTACCTTTCAGATTTTATTTACTCTTTCAGGTCCTCCCTCTAGCCAGACAACGCATTTGCACACGTGCGACTGACTGCTTTCACTCTCTTCTGTAGGATGTATTTTGGAGAGAAGATCGGGCTGTACTTCGCCTGGCTGGGCTGGTACACTGGAATGCTGATTCCTGCAGCAGTTGTTGGCCTGTGTGTCTTCTTCTACGGATTGGTGACCATGAATGAAAGCCAAGTAAGGTACGCTGTTGGGAGCCACATCACAAAGTGCTTGGTCTATGTCCTGAGTCTGCAAAAGCTTACACATAATGCTGATCATAAAAATGACAAAAATATAATTATTTGATTTTTTTCACAAATGAAAAAACTAAAGGATATATTTTATACTTTCATGTGCCACTTCTCTTAGGCAAGATCCAATTCTGCTTATCTCTATGCCCACTTTCTTCTTGCTTGTGTATCCCACATAATGATCTAAAAATAGTAATGAAATAGTCAAATGCATATCAGAATGCTAGTTATTTTGTTAAGATGAAATGACTCACAGTTTAGAAGTAGGAATGCATTATTCCTGGAAATAATATACAATTATGCAGCAGAGATAAGAGCGACCTAGAGGATTAAAGAGTCACCTGGGATTAGCAGCACATATAGATCATGGGTGAGCCATGTGTTCAACTGTGCATGACCAAATTCAAATCCGAAGAGGCCCCCCTTTCCTTCAACGCTCCGAATGTTCTTCCTTTCTGGCCCATCCGTAGCCAGAGCCTTGCTGCGGGGCTGTAACACCGGCAGCCTATGCTATTGCTAGAGTCCTCAAGGGCTGTTAGGAACTAACTTCTGTGCATTTCCTTTAAAAATACAATATGGGGCCAGCCAAATAGCTCAGCAGACTACAGCGCCTGCTTAGGCAGAGCACCGAGGCCCGGGATAGATCCCCATTGTGCCCTGCTGGTCCTGCCCCCGGGAGTGCTGAGACTGTGTGGTGGCAGGCGCCTGTGATGCCAGCACTTGGGAGGCTGAAAACAGACTCACTGTGAGTCTGATCTATGTAGTGAGACTCTGTAAATCCTGTACTCCATAGACTTGTAATGAGTCCTGGATGTAGGCTTGCTGGGGTGGGGAGTGGCAGGAGGAAGCTGGGCTATATTTATCTTTGGTGTCCTTGAGTGCAATCCTGCTCAAAATCCCAGGGCCTTGATTTATTACCTCACAGTCCCCTTGCTGTTCATAAGGCCAAGTGGTCACAGCTATGAAAACAAACACAAGGGCTGCTCCAGAGCATTTCCATGAGTCTCACATTCATTTCAGCTCTCCCTCTAGTAGGCAGCATCGTGCCGGACAAACTTCAGCCCACAGTAAGCACCGTCCCTCTGTTCCTCTTGTGGGCTTTTCTCCTGCATGCTGCCCAGACCATAACCCCCAGGCCTCAGAGGAGAAACTGGCATTCAGTTACAGTGTCCTGACGAGAGAAGCTCTCTTTTGCAGTGCACTACCAAGTACGGAAAATGACTCTTCCAGAATCACAGGTCAAGTTAGTTTCATGGAGAAAGAATAAATGAAATTTTAGCATGAGAAGTAGAATCCTCCCTCCACCCCTGAAACCCTGGAAGGAACAAAAGCAAAGAGATGGCACTGTTCCTACTGATCTATGCACCAGTGGAGTAAATTAAGCTCTTTTTGTTGGAAATAAGTTCTCCTTAACCTTTAGTGGAAGACATGTCTTAAAAGGCACCAATGAACTCCTTTCTCCAGCACTTTACGGTATTCTATTACTGTTGCTGCCATCACGCTATAATTAAGATCCTGCCAGACTTTCTATTCTAAACCAAGATAAGTAACGCTGAATATCTTGACTTGCAGAATTTGGTGTTTGAAATTTTCCACTCCAGGTGGCAGACATGGTTGAGTCCTGGATGTAGGCTTTCTGGGGTGGGGAGTGGCAGGAGGAAGCTGGGCTTTATTTTTTGTTGATTCACATGTTATTTTATTGAGCTCCTTTTCTTGTTTATTGCAAAGTGGTAATTTTTTTTAAATGTATTGGGTTGTTACAGGGGTTCACTACACATTTCAGACTCGTAGTGGTCCTCCTGTTTCAGCCTCCCCAGTGCTGGGATTACGGGCGTGTGCTCAGCATGCCTGGACTCTGTAGCCAGCTCAGCACACCGGGGGCAGGCCCATGCAGCATTGGAGCTGGGTGTCGAGCCTGGTCCCTGAGCTCGCCTAAGCAGGTGCGTAGGCCACTGAGCTAGCTCACTGGCCCTACCAGGGTAGTGATATGTTGAAAAGCTCCAGGTATCAGTCTGCTTATCATGTTTTTACTAGATTAGTTCAGCTAAATTAAGGTCATAGTTTTAATTGCCCTCTAGTGAATTGTATCAGTACAAAACCATCAAACTGCAGCACGTTCTGTTAGTGCATACATGCGTGTGATTATGTGTGCCTTACTTTTTACACAGCCAAGTAAATGGGTTCATATCTGTGTCAGCCACATGATGTATCACAGGATTTAAAAAATGAAAAAACAGGTATGTGTAGCCTGTTTCTTAGGACCCTGGGCATCAGGAAAATGTTTTTAAAAGAAATTCTAGTTTTCTGGTCCTTCTTACTTTTTTTGTCACCAGAACACATCCAAAACCTTTGGTGGCACTTAGTATTAGGCAGATTTCCAAAAACTATTGCCTCCTATAAAACCTTCGAAGTCCCCTCCTGATTTTATCCTTGACAGTGAGCGTGTCTTCTATTTGATCCCAAATGCCTGTAACCCAACAGAGACATTGTCCTTGCCTGTAGACAAATTCATCTTCAGAGAAATAGATGATTTAGTTAGAGCACATATCTGTTAAGGGGTCAGCTAACTTTCAAATCCATATCTGATCCTTTCTAAATTTTATTTATTTACTTACTTGGTACAGCCTCGCACTATGCCGCTCTCACTCATAGGGATCCTCTGGTCTCAGCATCCTGGGGCCGGGATTACAGGCATGTGCCACCATGCCTGGTTTCAGTGGCTGGCTTGGCATGGGGCCAGCATGGCATACAGTACCAGAGATTGAACCCAGGTTGTTGCACTTGCCAGGCAGGTGCTTAGACAGCTGAGCTAGCTCCCCAGCCCTCTAATTCTTTTAAAAACATTATTGCAATATGACTGTTTGTCATTAGATTTCTACTCCACAAAATTTTACATGCGCAATAGCATATGGGAACAATGTTGTACAAAATGAATTAGGAACCTACACAACTTGGGTAACTGCAACTGCATGACAGGCCCTGCAACCACAAATATGCGCTTTCCTGACGTACGAGCTCTTACTGTCCTTGGCTTTTTAGCCCCATACCAATGCTCTTCTGTGATTGGCTTATTTCACTTAGCATAATAAACAGTGATACCATGTTTTATGAATGCTGATGTTTGTGAAAAGTTTTGTTTGCAAACAAAAGCACAGAGCAGAATTTTGCTTTCCTCTACAAACTCTGTACTGAGTGGCAAACTGGGTCACAGCAGTCTTCCCCTGAAATGAGGAGTGACTTAAGTGCGTGAACCAAGGTGCAGCTCCACTCTGGGTTCAAGTGAGTTGCTATATCGGGCAAAATGTCTTATTTAAAGCTGAATAAAATTCCATCGTACATGTATATTTTCCTGGTCATTCATCAATCAATAGAAAGTTGAGATGCTTCTGTGTGAGTGATATGTTTAATAATCCTGCACGAACGCGGGACGTGCCTTTCCCTGACAATCACCCTGAGGCCCGCCGCTGGCTCGGCCTGCGTGCTATACTCCTTCCGGTTGTTTGCATGTTTGACTGCTCCAGTGACGGCGCCACGCAGACACTTCCTTCTCTGTGCTCTGCCTCAGAGGAAGTGAATCCAGTCAGCCCCTGTGTGATGTTGTTCCAACTGGCAGTATCTTTTTTTTTTTTTTTTTTTTTTTATTCTAGGGAAGGGTCTACAGGGTGTTCAGGGTCTCACTACTAGATCGGACTCATTGTGATCTGCCTGTTTACAGCCTCCCAAGAGCTGGGATTACAGGCATGTGCCACCAAGCCCAGTCTCAACTGCTGTCTCAGTGAGCCCTGGGGACGGGCCGGCACAGCAGGCCTGGGGATCCAACCCCCTTCCCCTGAGCCTACTTGCAGGTGCTTTAATCTGCTGAGCTGCTTGACTGACCCTGAAAAATTGTTTTTAAAAATGAAATGAACTTTACTCCTCCTTTAACTATGTTACAGATGATGGAGGACTGGATATAAAATCATGCAAAACTTACACTTAGGCTCCTGAAGCACCTCTTGCTAGTTCCATGACTTTGGGCAAGTTTCATAAATGACTGTTGTTTCCCCTTCCTTAATGGAGATGATTTCCTTCGAGGAGGTTAAAGAGTGGGCAACTTTACCATGCAAAATATGTGCTGTTCTGTCATACCCTTGGTGTGGTTTATTCTTACTTTGGCTTGCGGTTATATACATCCTACACTTGGCATGCACATGTCTTCTTTTTTGACTTTGATTGCATATATCTTTTCTCTCTCTCTTTTATTTTTATACAGGATCTGACTATGCAGTTCAGATTCATAGTGGTCCTCCTGTCTCAGCCTCCTAAGTGCTGGGATTACAAATGTGTGCCGCCACGCCCGGTTTCTGGGCAGCAGGGCATGCCCGAGTTTCAGGGGCTGGCATGGCACGCAGTACTGGGGATTGCACTTGGGACCTTGTGCTTGCCAGGAAGGTACTTAGACTCCCAAGCTGTCCCCCCAGCCTTGTACATATTTTCTAATGGCAAATCATGCTGTAAATATTACCAATTAAACTTACATTAACAGTTGCATGTTCTGGCACATTTTCTGAAGCCTTTACATTCCTTTCAACAGTTGCAGCGCAGATTCATTTAAAGAAAACTTACTCAAGAGATACTAAGTAGGCAAGGGCATGCACAGCGCACACAGGCACAGAATATCCTAAAGGAGGTTGCTGTGAGCCCTCAGTCTGTGGGTGGTCCGCTGATTCCCAGCTCGCTACAACCATCTCCCCTGTATGCTGAGCTTTTTACCAGACGGAAAGCTGGCGATTTGGGCAGGGCCGGCTGAAAGGGAAAGCCAACGACCTGCTAACGAGGGCGCTTGCACAGAGAGGGCTGTCTTCAGCTCTCGCGAGAACACAGGCAGGATTCCAATAGGTCGGCCTCGCTGTGACGTCAGCCGAGGAGTAGGCAATTGGAAAGATGTTGCCCTTGAGCTGGGGACCGTGGGGCACTTTTCTTTTCTTTTCTTTTCTTTTTTCTTTTTTTTTTTGCAATGATCCATTCTGGTCCTGTAGAGTTCTTTCCGTACTTTTCATTGGGCCCCACTCACTCTGAAGGGCATGTTCTTTACTGCCAGCAGTAAACATAAAACCTCACTATATTTTGTGCTTATCTTTACTGTTTCTTTGTTCATGACAAAAACAACCTAGCAGCTGACTCTCAGGGAAGACCCCAGCACCCGAAACCCCAGTAATAGCAACAGGCATCAAGCTGAAGAGATAAGCATCATAAAGCACAGTTATTGAGAATGTTTTTAATTAAATAGAAATTATGCCATGCTGTCCTGACAGAGGTTGTCCAGTATTCTGCCCCCACCCCACCTCTCTCCACCTAGTCACTCATTCTCTCTCCATCTGTCTTTGTCTGTGTCTCTTTTTCTCTCTCTCTTTCTCTCACACTCTGTTGTGCCCTCTCTCTCTCTTTCTCTCTCTGTCTTACACACACACATACACACACATACACACACATACACACACACACACACACACACACACACCAACCCCTTTAATTTCCAGTAAATATTTCACACATCACATACTACAACACATGGATGGTGAACTCCAGAAGTCAGAATAGTCAGGTTCTATTCCAGCTCATCTGCTTTTTTCTTTTCTTCTTCTTCTTTTCAACCTTTCATTTATTTATTTGGTACAGGGTCTCACTACACAGCTCAGACTCATAGTGATCCCCCTGTCTCAGCCTCTCCTGTGCTGGGATTACAGGCATGTGCCACCACTCCTGGTTTTGGTGGCTGGCATGGCCCACCCAGGGTTCTGGGGCTGGCATGGTATGTGGGTCCAGGGATTGAATCTGGGTCTTTGCGCTTGCCAGGCAGGAGCTTAGATCACCAAGCCACTCCCCAGCCCCATCTCATCCACTTCTAAGCCTGAGAACTCAGTTAAACCTCTACAGGTATAATGCACAAATTGTACTGAGTGCCATGAGGCCTTGTATAAAAGCGTCTTTGTTTTTAAACATTCCCCAAGTGTCACATAACTGTACGACATGCACCAGTACCCCTTCAGCGTCCTGACAGAGGACCCTATAATCAAAGAAGAGAAACCAACCTTTGTATTGTCACAGTCCACAGAGGGCTCCCTCGTGGGAGCCGCAGTCCCAGTGCTCCCGCCTTGCCTGTTACCTTGCCCAGGGTCTGTGTGCCTGTCCCTCTCCTTTCTCTCTTGCTCTGGAGTCTGCAGCAGGGTTTGCTGGTGAGGCGAGTGACCCTGTCAGCACATGGCTCATGTCTGTTCTCTCCGACTTCTGCAGCCAAGAGATCTGCAACGCCGCAGAAGTCTTCATGTGCCCCCTGTGTGACAAGAACTGCTCACTGCAAAGGCTCAATGACAGTTGCATCTACGCCAAGGTGAGCAAGGCCCTCCGCAGCCTCTGCCCTGGCCTCTCCTCCGTCCAAGAAGCAGGCATAAGAAGTCTGCGGACAAACAGCCTTCACCATCTCAGCAGTTGCAGCACCATTTTTAGTGTCCCCACCACTGGACAAGCCGACAGACCACCGTTATGGTGATGTACTTTTCTCTGAGTATCACTGTCCTCTGTTGTGTTTATAACTGGTGATTGCTGCCATAGACATGAACTCCCACTTGCAATCATATCTAGGCTCTTTGTAGAAGAAGAATTATTTTTGGTGCTGATAATTACATTTGTATCTTCTATGAAGATTCCTGAAGCTAAAATGCTTTTAATTGTACAGCAAAAACAAAAAAAGAATACCAAAAAAGTTTATCAAATTGTGCTTATTAGAATAACCTGGAGGGATTTTTTTTAATTCTTGAAGTCCAGATCACATTCCAGAGCAATTAAATCAGACTCTGTAGGCAAAGAACCTAGATCTGAGCATATGCTCAAATGGTCCTCGGGCTGGGGAGATAGCTCAGTGGCATAAGCACCTGACTGGCAAGCGCAGGGACCTGGGTTTGATACCTGGTACTGCACGACATGATGGCCCCAGAACCCCAGACACACTGTGCTGGCCACCAAGACTGGGCATGGTGGCACACACCTGGAATCCCAGCCCTAGGGAGGCTGACACAGGAGGATCACTATGAGTCTGAGCTGCATAGTGAGACCCTGTACCAATTAATTAGTTTAAAAAATTAAAAAGAACAAAAAATAAAATGTTCCAAGTCATTCCAACTCTATAAATACTGACTTCTATAATTATTATCTTTTATTTATAAAAGTTTTGCATAGTTAATAGCACACATTTGAAATATACAAGTCAATATTCTGTTAAGTGATGTCTGTGCGTCCATCACTAACGTCAGCATAATGAACTTACCTGTCACCTGGCAAGCTTGCAACGATGCCTCCACCTCTCCCTGAGGACTCGGGTGGCTGTCAGCCTTGTGTCCTATGTAAATATATATTTTGTATTTTAGGGAAGTGTCTACAGGGTGTTCGGGGTCTCACTATCAAATAGGACTCGTAGTGATCCACCTATTTACAGCCTTCCGAGAGCTGGGATTACAGGGGTGCACCACCATGCTCAGTCTCAACTGCTGTCTTAGCACACCCTGGGGGCGGGGCAAGCATGGCAGGCCCAGGAATTGAGCAGGCCCCTGCACCTGCTTGCAGGTGCTTTAATCCACTGAGCTATTTGGCTGGCTGGCCAGGTGCTTTAGATGGCCTTCTTCTTGGAGAAGTCCCTAAGAGGAGTCAGAACCACGTGCCGAGGGACAAGAAGGTGGGTGGCGTGTGCATCTGTCTGGTCACAGCCCCACTTATAAATTCACCATGATTCAATCAAAGCAGTTCCACTCCAGTGACCCATTCTAACAACCCCAATGCCCTTGTGGGATTCAGAGTCCACCTTCTCAACCTCAAACTGTAGATGGATTTTTAATCCATTAAGGCCTAAGAGACACTCAAATCACACCCAAAATATGGAAGTCTGTTTTAGAACTGCTATCCAAAACTTCATCACAATATCAGTACCACTGTCATGTCTTCAGCCAACCCATAGAGTAGGGTCCCAGTGTCCATGCAAGTTCCAAGTGCTGTATGGCCAGTGGCTTTAAGTTTTAACTAGAGTGTAGCTAAAGGTATCCTGTCATAGTTTATTAACTTGAACATAACCTGATGTGGGGTAAGGAGGTCTTACTTTTAAAATGTTTGAATTAGACCACAGCAGTGCTGCCTACAACTAACTCTTCCCCCAACAAAATAAAGCTTTCTGTGTGCTCCACTCCACTCATTGGGCACAAAGAGTTTCTGTTAGGCTTGAAGGGATAGGTCCTGTCCCAACTCTGCTCCTTCTCACTGGTTCTATCCTTGGCTATGTGAAGCTTCCTGTCGTCACGAGTGCTGGTCATGGGCCGGATCCTCACTTGTGGCATCTTTGCTGTTCTTCTAGGAGGGTCAACTGAGGCAACACCAATGTCCACCTGATTTGTTTCCCACTCTCGTGGATGGTTGGCCTTTATTTCTTTATGTTCAATCTTTTCAAGTCTCTTGTTTTATGCATTTTGTATATTTTGGCTGTTCTATTAGCAGAATAAAAATGATCCCTTCTTTTTTCCTACCTGATCTAGAAGTACAGGCTTCTACATAATTAATTTAACTAAACTGAGCACCAATCAGTACCCACTGCACTCCTTCACTCTATGACGAATACTGAATAAAGCCAGCTTCTGTATTTCTCTTGAGCAAATAGCATGGAAAACTATAATTTTTAATAGTGCTCAGTTTTGAATTATTTTCTCTTTTATGTATTTAGTACAGGATCTACAGTATCTTGAGGGTCTCACTACACAGATCGGACTCATAGTGATCCTCCCGTTTTCAGCCTCCCAAGTGCTGGATTACAGCCGTGCACCACCACGCCCAGTCTCAGTTGCCATCTCGGTGTGTCCCGGGGGCAGGGCAGGCACGGCACACCAGCGATCAAACCCTGATCACTGAGCCTGCCTAAGCAGGCACTTTAGTCTTCTGAGCTATCTGGTCAGCCCCAGGTTTGAATTCTCTGAGAATTTCCACAAAGAGCACGAGGACTTAGGAGCAAGGATATCTAAATGGTGGCACCACTACCTCATCACAGTTCTCTGTGTCATTTTGAGCTAGGTCTTGCTATACAGTTCAGGCTGACCTTGTACTAGGGACAATGGGCCAGCCTCATCTTCCTGAGGCTAGGATCAAAGCTGTGTGTTACTACTCCCAGTTCTCATCACTTTCTGCCAAAGCCTAGGAGTTATAATTACCAAACAGAAAAGCACATGTTCTTTCCTAGCCAATGTATTTCCATACCTGACAGCCTTAGTCAAACCTGACAGTCCAGATACTTTTTGCTTTTTGCTTCTCTTCTATGAATCTAACACAAGATAGTATCATGATTTAAAAGCAAGAGCAGCACGGCAGCAAATAACCACTAGGAAGAGAGTATGCAATGTGTTAATTATTGAAACTGTTTAACCAATTTGATTTGAAACTGTCTCATTGCTATTTGTTTCTCAATAAAATTTTGGAGAAAAAAATAAAATAAAAAAGGAAAACACAAAAAAAATTTAAAAAATAAAAGCAAGAGCAGCCACATGTGCAGAGTGATGGTGTGAGAAATCCTTCCCATGAAAGGCTAAGTCTGTGCAGTAAGTCAGCACCCTTTCATATGCAGAAGACAGCATGTATGAGGACAGGCAGAACTCAGAAAGAATTCACTTAAAAAGACTCTTACAGAGAAAGTGAAGAGTGAGCTTGAGAGGAAAGTCTCTACTTATGCAACAATAGAACATATAAAATCCACCTGGATGAAATATTTAATATGTCTTATATTTGTTTCTCTGGATAAGACATGATGTATGTGCAGGTTTTGTACTTTCTGGTTTTTAAAAACCAGAATTACTCTTACTTTACTGGGTGAAAATAAATATTTTCTTGTAAGATATTATGATACCTCAGTTACTAGATGAGAGGATTCAAAAATAAGAACAGATTTTGCTAATGGAACAAGATGATGGATATACATTCACTGCCACATGATTGCCTGGTCACATGATTGCCTGGTCACATGATCTAGTAGCTGTCACTGCAGCTCTTCACAAAATCCATCACCACTGTGACACCAGGAAATCAAATCTAACATAACTTATTTAAAAGTACACTCAGACTCATCTGCTTACAACTGAAGGGTACATTTGCATGGGCAAAGAGTCGATCCCATCATATGATAGAAATCATATTTAATTATATTATCATCTCCCTTCATGACTTTTTAATTCTAGAAAGCATCAGAATTAGAAAGTTTTGTAATTTAATGATGCTTACAAACTTATTTAAATATGTAGACACTGAAAATCAATTTCTCTGATGCTAGATTTTTCTATGAAGTGAAATAATTTTCCACAAGTTACTAAATCCTGAAAAAAAAATACATGTAATTCCAAAAATGACTCACCCCTTAACACTGACCTCATTCATAATATTTATTATTTGTGATTTATAAATTTCTGCTTGTTTCCCATTTATTCATTCTCTAGCATGAGACTAAGACTGTACACTGATGTTTCGGCTAGAGCAGAAATAAGAGGGAAAGATATTTCTTCTTCAAGAAACTTAACCAAAGAGTCTGGGAATAGTCTGTGTACATCAGAGTCACATGCAACATTCATGAAAAGCAGACTCTTGGGCCCAACATGCTCAAATTCAGAGTTCATCAAGGAGGAGACCTGCCAACCCCCATGCCACCAAGCTCCTTGGGGATTCTGACTCCAAGGAGCACAGGTCTGAGAGAGTTGACCGGGAGAACAAGGCATGGTACCACATTGGCTGTCACTTCTGTCCAGATGCAGTGAATAGATAGTTGTGCAAGGTCACAGGTATCTAGAAATTAAGGATAGAGAAAGAATTTATAGATAGAGAGCAGATGGGTGAAAAGGAGAAAGACAGACAGACTGAGAGAGAGATGGAGACACAGAGAGGCAGAGTGAGAGAGAAACAGAGACAAAGAGCGATAGCAAGAGAGATGAAGACAGGGGGTGGGAGGAAAGAGACAGAAACAGAGAGACAGAGGGACAGAGAGACACAGAAAGAGAGAGAAAGAGAGAGAGATAGAGAGATACAGAGACAGAGATATTCTGGACCAGTAGGACTAAATCTGTCCATGATACTCTTGCTCTTCCTAGTAGAACGAGGCCTTCGTCACGTGGAAGCAGAAGTTTCCATAGCCTTATGTTACCGTGAACCCAGCCAAGCAGGTCTAGAGGGAGATCCAGCACCTACGGCAGGGCAGGAGAGGCACAGACTTCACACTTCTGTCCACAGGAGGATTGCTGTCCTTACCCAGGGGCCACCATGCTGGGTGCAGCCTCACTCCACACCGCAGGACAACTCAGTGTCCAAAGGCGGGGGTTGGTGCTGTGCTTGGGCTGAGTTTGCTTCCACCTTGATAAATTTCCCTATTCACAACGACAGTGTTAAAGAAAACGCTTACTCACAGGTCCCTCTAACCACAATAGCTAGCTATTTTCCTTGTAGAATAATTCATCAAAAATGTGTGCTTTCAAATCGTGCTAACTTCTTCTTGCTTTGAGAACAGTCTGGCATGATACTTGGGGAATATTTTTTAATGTTCTAACAAGTGTTCCACAACATAGCAAGTATTCTTTTGCTGCAAGACAGCAGGATAATTCTCACTTATTCTCCACCCCTCAGCTACCCAGAAAATGCCCCAGCATCTGCTCTCCCCATTTCTATTTATCCTGTCTTTCTTATGTCTTTCTTATGTCACCACCTTAACCGAAGCCCTGTGCAACTCACGCTGTCATAATCTCTTTCTGCAGGTTTCTAATTGGCCCTCTTGTACCTGCCACCGGTCTTTACTCTCATAACATACAGCATCCATGCCTGACAGATTAGCTTATCCACCGCACACTGTTAGTCACCTCCTTGGGGCAAATTCTGAAGCCTCCCTGGGCCTCCCTTCTGGCTTTATCTCCATTATAAGAAGATCACATGCATCCCTGCTGTATCACGTGGACATGTTATTAGAAGTGTAAGGAACTGAACATTGCAAGGATTTGAAAATAAACCTTGTCAGGAAAAACAATGAAAAAGTTTTTAAAGGAAAATACTGCATAAAATATATCAAAGGGCAGCCTTTTTTGTTTAGCAGTTTTCCACAGTCAAGGCTATTTCCGAAGCAGGGGAGCACCATTATGCCCGGTGACCTTTAAGCCCACATATGTAAAGTCCTTGTTCCGACACCCTCCAGGCAGCCCCATAGGAGGTCTGCTTCTAAGAGAAGCAGACAGCTGTTCAGCTGCTCCAAAGCCGCAGATACCCCTGCAGGACGCCCCTGGAAACAGAGCCTAGACGCCCTGCTGGGTGTAATTTTATGAACACGGCAGGAGCATTTCTTTGTGGTTCTTTTCTCTCCTGTACATAATGTATGGTAATGATTGTTCTGAAAATCAATGCTTATAACATTTTTAGGAGCCGTAAGCCTTAAGAGTCAGAATATTAGAGACACTTGGCATATTTTATACCTGCTCACAAACCTTTAAAAGAATCCTATCTTTCTTTTGCTGATATTTTTATCAGTGCCACATTGTGGAAAAATATAACCTACATTTACTTGTGTAGCCCATTGTTTCGCAGCATGTCCCAGAGGCTGACAATGAGAATACACATAATATTGTTTCCGTGCCTCCTTTGAATGCACCTCCCACCTCAGACTGTGCACAGCAGACTCCACTGCAGTTTCCTTTATAATAATGTTTTGAAATGCAAAATTAGCCTCACCCACCTTTGACAATGCCACCCTATTTCTCTACCTAGTTGTCCCGCTATCGCTGCAGTCTAATTTTCCATACTTCCCTTTTCCTATTGTCACCTGGGCTCTAACATGGAAATTTTCAGAAATAAACAATTCCTAGGTTTTCAATTTTATGCCATTTTGGATAATATGTTGAAGCCTCATGCAACAGCACTCTGTCCAGGCGGGGTTGTGAATCGTTCTTTGGCCCGTGTATCCATACGTTATATGCTACCTACCCCTTAATCACTTGGTAGCCATCTCAGTTATCAGTTTTGTAGCTCTATTACTGTCCTTGTATTCAAGCAAGTGGAGCCTCCAGGCTGACTGTGGGCCAACCCTACTCACAAGGCCACGCATGTCCTTCGCTTTTTTGGATCAGTACACACAGTGTCATTGCACCTTATCACAGGGAGATCAAGTGTAACACAATAAGATGCACTGAAAGAGAACCCAATTGTACATCACTTGTGTTACACTGCAGTGTTTTAATTTCCCTATTTTATTATTAAACTTGCTGTCAATCTCCTGCTGCGTCTATCTTACACATTCAGCTTTATCGCAGATATTATGCAAAGGATAAAACAGTGTATACAGGCTGTGTTCTCTGCAGTTTCCAGCATCCACTGTGGTCTCAGACTGTGTCTTTCAGGATCAAGAAGACCTCTATAGATTCCACACTGTTCATGTGCATGCTAGACATTTGTGTTCTTGGCTGCATTAATTTGATCTCTCTCACTAATTTATAAGTATGGTGACAGAATTCTGCAAATGAAAGCAAATGGAGGCTATTCCAATTTTATTAAGCTTGAACTTTATTAAAATTAAACAATATTTGAAACTCTGAAAAATGTATCACTACATTGTTCTTTATCCAACTTTGGAAAATACTTGATTTAAAAAATGTTGACAGTATCATGTATGTCCAGTGATTGATGAAACTTCCAAAATCAAGCTAAGAAGAGATTCATTACGTTTTACAAGCCACTGCTGGGTGCACGGCACATGCTGAGAGACATAAGACAAGGCGCAGAGCCTTCCCATTGGGACTACTAGCTTGTGGGTTGGTTCTGCAATTTACAAATTCCCCGTTCATGGATGTTTCGTTGAAAGCACATGCAGTTAGGCAAGCTTTACTTGAAAAGTCAAATTTGTGCATCTCACATGGTAGTTTGCCTTACTGTGGTCCACACATATTTCCTCACAGTGCTAGAAACGCTGCCAAGCAAAAGTGAAGGTGGGAGAAAAGGAGAATCAGGGAAGAGAACTGAAGTGAAAGTTCTTTCATCCTTTCTACCCAGGAGAAAAATCACAGAAAGTACCTGCAGGATCCCATGAGCCATAAAATATTGCGATTTCATTCTGAAAAAGTGATAGTACCTGAATTGAAATGGCAATCACTGGATTATTGTAAGCAGTAGCATGATTAATTTGTTTGTTGTTTTCCATTAAGGTGACGTACTTGTTTGACAATGGAGGGACAGTCTTCTTTGCTATCTTTATGGCGATATGGGGTAAGTGCACCCTTTCCTTACACTCCAGCTCTCAACCTCTAGGGCTATTGCTGTTACTTCATGCTCACACACACTCACACACGCACATGCCCACACACATGCACATACACGTTCATTATCCAGCAACTCAATAATAATGGATTTTATCTCCTATTGTTTTTGCTTGTAAAAGCTGGTACTTGCATTGTTTGCCTCTGCATACATTCGATACTACTTTTGTAATTACATCTTTGCCTAACCTTTTGACTACTGCAGCCTAGATCTCCCTGCACTAGGAATTGCTTTGTTTTTCTTGATGCCAAAATCAGGTGACAAACTGGAACATAGTCAAATCTACATTAAGTTCTTTGCATCATTACTTATGAAAATAATGATCAAAACTTTTTCTTTGGGACCAGGGAGATGGCTCAGTAGGATAAGCGCTTCCCTGACAAGTGCAAGGGCCTGAATTCAATCCCCAGTTCCACCAAAAAAAAAAAAAACCTCAAAAAACACTTTTTTTGTTTAGTATTTCTACTCATCTATTTCCTTATACTTCATATATAGAGAGATGAAGGATTTAGTCCATATGTGATTGAACAAAAATGTGTAATATATAAAAATTCTATTATAAACAACCTACAACTGTACAAGGTATACTCTGAGTATATTCTTTGGCTGATTTTCACCATGATTCTCACTGACTTTTAAGACATTCAAATAATTGAAATCTAAATGTATTTAGACTAGTTGGTGCCCTCCCAACTTGGAAGACTTCTGAGGACGAGTTGCTTTTCTGGCTAGGGTAAAGTTCTCTGGCAGGCGCCTATCGAATGTCATTGTCAGAGTGAGAGCCCCACGGGCTGGCCATCTGTGTACTGAGGGCGGAGAAATAAAATGTGACAGAATACACGTTTCTCGTGTGTGCTGCCCAGGTTCCCAGGAACAGAATCTGGGGCTATATCTTCTTTCTAGCTTTCAATTAAAAAATTTTGAAGATCACTTTAATTGCCCTGATATTCCTAATCTTAATTTATGGCCCTAAATGTGTAAGTGGGACAAGGATGAGTCTAATGCATTGTTTTTTGTTCAAAAGAGGTGAAAGTGACTGTAGTGGTACATGCCTGAAATGCCAGCACTCCGGAGGCTTGGGCAGGAGGATTCCAGCTCGCTCTGGGCTGTGCAAGCAAGTTCAAGGCCTGTTTGTACTACATAGTGAGACCCTATTTAATAAAGAAAGAAAAGAAACAGGTGAAAATACAGTTTAGGTTCTGTATTTTTGTCGAAAGATTTTTTAATTAACTAATTAATTAGGTACAGAATCTTGCTCTGCAGCTTGAACTCATAATGATCCTCCAATTTCAGGCTTCCCAGGACTGGGATTACAAGTGTGTTTACATCACATCTGGTTTCGGTGGCCGGCACAATGCGCCTGGGGTTCTGGGGCAGGAACAGCATGTCGTACCTGGGATGGAACCTGGGTCCTCATGCTTGCCAGGCAGGCACTTAGACAGCCAAGCTATCTCCCCAGCCCTGTTGAAAGATTTTTATTATTAAATTATCAAGCACTGCTATCATGCTGATATCTTTTATCTGATTCTGCAAACATTTCCTTCTAAGAGAAAAAAGCAGATCAAAGTGCAAATCACATCTCTGAAATAGGAGCTTCAGCCCAGCTGAATGGTGCAAGTGGGGACACTTTTGAAAGGACCTGGCCTCTCTGTGTTTCTGCTACTCGTGTCAGGTTCTCAGGGTTCTGTTTGCACAATCCCTGTGCCAGCGACCTTGCACAAACCCTCGGGTACTGGCAGCACGCTGAGTGGCCAGGGCACAGGGACACTGGCTGTCGGAGGCCTCTGTTGTGTAGGGTCACACCGCGGTACGAAGGGGAGGAATGGCGTCCATTGGAATGCTGTCCTGCGCATTGGCTCGTCCTTCCAGCTCCGAAGAGTGACTCACAGATGGGTTGTAGTAGCTAGGACTCCCAAAGCCCATGTCGTACGGCTCTGGTGTGTTGTCTAATCGCAGAACTAAAGAGTAACATAAAATAAATGAAATCGCTTTATAGTGACAGTCCTTAAAATGCACGCTCAGTGGTCTGATTATCTTCCCAGATTACAGAATCGTTTGAGATGTCCATAGGTAAAACCTTTCCGTGAGGTTTTCAGGTTTGACTTTTGAAATGTTGAAGAAGTAGATGGTTTCTAGCTAAGTTTATTTCTATGACTCAGGGACAGTTTTGCTTCCTAATTTTCACTGCTGGTAGAAGCAAAATGAAGAAACAAGGGAAAAGATCACAAAAATTTACCAAGACTTTGTATAAAAGTTTACAACATATGTCTCCTTGACTTTCTAATCTTGTGGTTTCCAGAAACTTCTTAAAATATTCTAAATTTGCTA